ATAAAACCACTATTGGGAACCGGTCTTATTGAATTCATGCAAAGAAATGTATTGCCATAACTTATTTAGCATTGCCAAATTTTAGAGGAATTACATAAGGAGAAAAAGCCACTGACCTGCCTTAAGATCTTCTGATTTTCCTTGTCAGTCCTTTTTATGGACTTTCCAGAGTTATAACAAAACAGTAACTGTGGCATTTCTTTTATCAGTCCTTCCTAAGTACTTTGGCATAACTATTTACCCTCTGTTTAGGAGGCAGAATATAAATTATTTACTCTTTCTGACTTACTGGCCTGTACCATTTGATTAATTTCCTTTCAACATTTCTCTTCTCCTTATCACATACACAACCTTTCTAAATTTCATACTTTCAAATTAGCCTTTAAATCTTCTTTCTATGTCCTTTAAAAATGCATAACCATGCCTCAGACCTTCTACCCAGTAATTCCTTATTCTTAGAAACCTCAATCCTTTATAGCCAGTATTTCTTAGATTACTAAGAGCAGGTGCTTCCTTCCCTATGCAATTTCAAGTATACTGTATCAGTTTAATTTAGTATTGGAAGGGTTAAAGAGAATAAAACGGGGCAGAGAAAAACTTACTGTGCTTAGTAGAAGCTTTCAGCCTTGAGTTCAGCAGATAAGTAAAAATCAACAAAACTTCTGGTCTGCTTTCCCTGCCGACGGCCCCCCTCTTTTCTGCATTAACCATTTCCTTAGCTCTCTCCCTCCTAGATTTTTCCTTTTGTAAGACCCAGAGACTCAAATCCTTCTCCTCCTTTACTACTTTTGACCTCTCTGACTATCCCCCTGTCCCCCAGCCTAAGGCTCCTCTATCTCAGCAGGCTGAGAGCCTACTACCCTATCTAGTGAATCCTACCGCCACTACCCCATCTCACACCCGCTCCGGAGCAGTTTTCAGCTCTCTTCCTCCCCCAGTTAGAGCGGATGCTGTCCCCAACAGAGACCTACTGTAAAGGGAAAATGTACTAATCTTAACCTAACAAGCCTTTGTTTAAACTTCTTTGGGTTGCAACCTTATACCTTTAAATTAACCCTAGACTTCTAACATTTTAACCTAACACAGCAAAATTATACCTCAGGAAAAAGCAATTAAAAGTTCTCTGCTGTCTTCCCCTTAAAGGAGGGTTTGCCCTATCTTTAAACAAACAACAGAGATAACAAATACACTTATGTGTACAGCCAGATAACACAAAGTAGCTTTCGCTTCACACAGACTCTCATACTTACATTCATACACCAGACAGTCCAAGTTTTGACTTCTACCAAATGTTTACTCAGAGTTTAAGCAATCCAACCAATTCCTGACTAATTGCCTAAGGGAGCTCTATGGTTTCCCAGGAGGTGATCAAGCTCCCCTTCCACTCGCTTGGAGTGGGCCTAATTGATAGGGGGTCGAAGAAGACGACTGACCCTAACCCATTTTGACAAAGACAAAGACAACAAAGAACAAAGACAAAACAAACTAGACAAATGCAACCTAAGGTTGCCCAGAACCTGCAGCTCGCTCCTTGAAGTCCTGAAAATTTTTCAAAAAACATTGCAGCGGGGTGCTCACAGAAGCAGATGACTTTTTGACAACAAACACCAAGATAACAAACACCAGATAGACAAACCCGGTGCAGCCTAAAGCAGCACAAACCAGAGACCCCGGCCACCATGGTGGCCGCGGGTCAGGACCAGAAGTACCGCTGCATTCAGCCCTCCGTATAGGTCCTTCCATGGGACGTCCCAATTCCAGTTTAACGACAGGTCTTCCTTACCTCTCTCGAGAGTCCAGGTGGTTCGGTTTCCGAATTGAAAGTTTTGGGTGGAGTCTCCTCCGCCTCCCTGGAACCCGGGACGGATGCCTCCTTGGTAGTCGTTCCCCACAGGGATGTGGGGTATCTTGCTGCGTGCCCGGCGACAAGTGGGGGAGAGCCTCCTGCCTTGAATAGGGGGTCCCTCTCACCCCTGCCAGGGGAGAGCCTCCTGCCCTAAACAAGGGGTCCCTCTCACCCCTGCCGGGGGAGAGCCTCCTGCCTTAAATAGGGGGTCCCTCTCCTCCCTGCCGGGGGAGAGCCTCCAGCCCTAAATAAGGGGTCCCTCTCCTCCCTGCCGGGGATCTCGCTGGGGCCTCCAAATGTTATGGGTTCACTTAGCGAGGTAGACCACCGACTCAGAATTTAAATGTAAGAGCCTTTATTAAGCTGGCCAGCTGACCACAGTCACAGCACCCTGCCAAAGCAGAGGCTGAACTGCAGCGCTTACTACAGGAGTTACATTTTATTATTAAATTTTGTGGAGGCCCAGAGAAAAATGTGTCTTTCAAATTCTGGGCCCCCCAATATGGAGGAAACTCTCTTTATTTATACTTTTTCCAGTCTTTTGTCTCCCAAATTTGGAATGAGACTTCCGGGCCTTCTGAGAAAGAAGGCCTTCGTGCTGGGAAGGGGCCATGAGACCATATCTCAAGGCCTGGCCTGATGTCAGTACCTTCCTATCTATGTGTTTTAGGAACAGACAGCACAGCTTGACCCGTCTGGCTGAAGTGCCAGATATGCAGCCCAGCACAACCCTTGTGTAGAAATGGCTGCTAAGATAGGTTGTTCTTTTTTTTATTTATTGGTTTTTTTTAAAAAAGTTGAACCCAGTTAGCACCAGGAGCCTTCTTAGTAGATATTTTCTTTTTCAGGGTCCACACCCTCCATCTTGGCATTCAGACCAGTGTGCACGTGTGGCTTGCTGAATTCACATGCACTGGGTTGCAACCCCCTTTTTCCCGAATAAGTCCTTTTTGGTGACGAAACAACTAGTTGATATTATTTTTGAGTTAACACTACCAAGTGATTTATATTTTTAAAATTCTAATATAATGGTCTTGTTTAATTTCACATTCTAAGGTTTTGTTATGACTATATAGAAGCTCCCACTGTCTTCCACCACCAGCCCTATTCCAAGTCTTCAAGCCTCCCCACTATCTCCAGTCCTCAGCCCACCCACCCCGCTAGTCCTACTGCACCGCCCAGTTTCTTCACTCCTCCACATCACTCATATTTCCAGCTCACATCCCCCCTCTCCCCAGTCCTCTAGTACCACCCCTATGTTCAGTCCTCGAGTTTCACCCCCTTCTTTCCAATCTAAAGCCGCTCCCACGTTCCTTACTCCTCTAGATCCACACATCTCCCAGTATCCAGCCCCTACCCTTTCTGAACAGATTCCTGAGTTTGCTAGAAGGACCCAAACCTGACACAGACAACTCCTTGAACTGTCCTTACAGTTCTGGCAGCAGTAGCTTGTTTTCCTGTTTCTGACTTAGTCTGTCCCACGCACCCACCTCCTACCTTTTACCCTCTACATCAGGGGTCCTCAAACTACGGCCTGCGGGCCACATGCAAATACAAATATTGTATTTGTTCCCGTTTTGTTTTTTTACTTCAAAATAAGATATGTGCAGTGTGCATAGGAATTTGTTCATAGTTTTTTTTTAAACTATAGTCCGGCCCTCCAACGGTCTGAGGGACAGTGAACTGGCCCCCTGTTTAAAAAGTTTGAGGACCCCTGCTCTACATCCATTTAGTTACTCCCCCCACTTCTCTCCATTCCTAGAGGCTGACATACTTTTCTTACCACTCTTCTTTTAAAGGTGTGTGTGTGTGTGTGTGTGTGTGTGTGTGTGTGTGTGTACTGATTTCAGAGAGGAAGGGAGAGTGATAGAAACATCAATTATGAGTAACATCATTGATCAGCTGCCGCCTGCACGCCCCCTACTGGGGATAGAGCCTGCAACCCGGGCATCTGCCCTGACTGGGAATCAAACCAGCAACCTGGTTCATAGGACAAAGCTCAACCACTGAGCCACACCAGCCCAGGCATTGTTATTCTCATTTTAAAATCAATTTAGGCAGTGTCTTCCACTTGTACTCCCTTCCTTTCCAGATATGTGACTGTTACAACATCCTATTCTCTTACAAATGGTTCACTTTAAAGTCCCTTTACTTGTCTGTAAGCTAGAGGCAATAGCAGTCCCTCTCACACTGGGCTGTAGGGATGAAATAACACTACTTAGTGACTGGCATGTAGTTAGTTTTTACATAAATGTTAATCACTTATTACTATGTGTCCCCACTAAGCAAGGAAACTGACATCTAGCCTTAATCATAAAGGTCCTGGCTCATGGTAGGGTTCGTGGGAGGGGGTGAAGCACTGGCTAGCACCCCAGTTCAAGCAAAGGCAGGAACAAATATTGTGTATGTAGACTATGAACTTTTTTTAAAACGTATTTTTTATTGATTTCAGAGAGGAAAGGAGAGGGGAGAGAGATAGAAACATCAATGATGAGAGGGAATCATTGATCGGCTGCCCTCCTGCACGCCCCACCACCAACCAGCAACTCAGGCATGTGCCCTTGACCGGAATCGAATCCGAGACCCTTCAGTCCACACGTGGATGCTCTATCCACTAAGCCACACCAGCTAGGGCTAGACTACGAACTTTGGAAAATGTTTGAGCTGTGGTCGCGAGATTCTGATCAAAGATGGCTTTCAGGAAAGATTGGTGCGATGGATTATAAATCCCCTTCAAGGGTCGGCAAGCTCGCTGCTATGGTGGGACCAGAAAGGCACCGATGAAGCCCTGTGGTGGCATCTAGGTCCTGGTTTTGCTTGCATCCGAGAGGGGATCAGGTCGCTGTGAAGGACATTCTGGGAATGGGGTCCGATTTTGTCCCTGATTTCTAGGGTCCTCCAGCCCTGCTCCCCGTCCCCACCCCACTCCCCCAAATCCCCAAGATTCCTTTTCCCAGGAGTCCGTATTGGTTCTTCCCACACAGCCAGCTTCCCTCGGAGGCCCCCCCATACTTGTCACTCACCAGCACGCAACCAATCAGTACCCAGAGGTTGGGCCGCTCGGAGAAGGGGTGGTTACTTCCTGCTTGCTCACCAATGTGCGTGCTCCCAAGGGAGGAGCGGGCCTTGTAGGTGTGAGCGAGCCAATCACGGGCCCCCGGCGGCCGGCGGCCCCAGAAGCTGGTAGTCGCGCGCGAGCTTCCCCAAGATGGCGGTGGCTAGAGATGCCTGTGGCTTAGGAGAACTCTCCTTAGGGAACGGCCGGCGGCTCCACCTGGGGATTCCGGAGGCCGTGTTTGTGGTAAGAGACGTGTCGGTCCTAGGCATCTTGGTGCTGGGCCGCGATCGCTTCCTTCCGGGCGCACAACCTGGTCTTGACTGCGCGGGGGGGGGGGGGGGGTGGTGGTGGTGGTGGAAGGAGTTGCGCTAAGGGATCTGGGAGAGCGCGCTGCATCCCCTCTTGCCCTCCGCCCTTGTAGAGACTCAGCTGGGCTGGGATCCGCCGGGGGAGGGGGACGCAGTCCCAGAAGGACTGAGAGGAGATGGGGGCCTGGGGCGGTCCCTTGGACCCTCCGATCGCCAGGTTTCAGCCTCTGCTGCCTGGAAAAGGGAGGCAGTGAGAGGCTTGAGACTCAGCCTAGATGCGGATGAGCCCGACTGATCCACGGTCACTTGGGATGCAGTGAGTAGGCAGAACCTCTGGTGCTGAAGGGTGAAACTAGGAAACGCAACCTAGCCTGTTGAAGGAATGCAGTGTTCTCTTTCCTTGCAAATTAGGCGAGGGTGCGAATGCGAAGTCCTTGTTTGGTATGCTAAGGAATTGAGGCTCTCTATCCAGCAGGCAAAGGGCTGTCATGAGAAGGTGTCTAAATGAGGCCACTGCATAATCGTATTTGGTTTGGGGTACATCATTCTAACAACTTAGTGATGAAATGTGTGGAGTTGAGAGGGGAGGCACGGGATGCAATTGGGAGGCTTCACCAAACGGGCAAACCAACCCAAGTCCAAACGAAGAGAAAAAAGTAGATGCTTTCAACCTTGTATTATGTCTTTTCCCATTCAGTTCTGTTGGGCTTCATTATTCCTGTACAAAAGATTGTTCTGTTTGCCTTTTGGGTTTATTTTATTTCCACCACTTGATACTTGCAGAGGTATTGTGGCTTGCCTTGGGCACCTAATGACCATATTTAGCATGATTTCTATGGTAGAACTTTTGAGTTAAAAATTTAAGTAATAAAAATCAATAATCTTGGCATACAATCTGTTGAATCACTTTGTGGCTAGGGCACATGACTGGGCAATGTGTTTGTTGGTAATTTTTATATTTACTACTAAGGTCTGGGGGGGATGCATAAAGCTGACAAGGTCGTCGTTCTTTCCCTATGCATAAATAAAAATAAAAAGAGGAAGGTGGAGGGAGGGTAAATTAGCTACAAAGTGTATGTGCACTGCCCTGGCCAGTGTGGTTCAGCAGTTAGAGCATGGGCCTGTGGACCAAAGGAGCAAGGGTTTGATTCCTGGTCAAGGGCACGTACCTTGGTTGCAGGCTCAATCCCTGACCCCCAGTCCCCAGCCCCATCAGGCACATTCCAGAGGCAACCAATGGATGTATCTCTCACACCAATGTTTTTTTCTTTCTCTCTCTCTCTCTCCCTCCCTTCCTCCCTTTCTCCCTTTCAATCTCTCTGAAAAATTAATGGAAAAATATCGTCAGGTGAGGATTAACAACAACAAAAATAAAGCAAAAACAAAATGTGTGTGCACTGTCTAAAATGGTCTAATTTTTTAAAATTACCATTTTAGTTAAAAACAAGTCTTGGAATGCCCTAGCTGGTTTCTCAGTGGTTAGAGCCTTGGCCTCCGGACTGAAGGGTCCCAGGTTTAATGACTGGCCCCCAGTCGGGGTGTGTGCAGGAGGCAACCAATGAATGTGTCTTACTCTCTCTCTAAATAAAAACCAATGGAAAAAATATCCTTGGGTGAGGATTAACAAAAAACAAGCCTTGAGAGAAAAACACAAGGTTTTTTTGGTCTTTTATGTTTTTCCCCCATTATTTATTTATTTATTTATTTATTTTTAATATATTTTATTGATTTTTTACAGAGAGGGAGAGAGATAGAGAGTTAGAAACATCGATGAGAGAGAAACATCGATCAGCTGCCTCCTGCACATCTACTGGGGATGTGCCCGCAACCCAGGTACATGCCCTTGACCAGAATCGAACCTGGGACCTTTCAGTCCGCAGGCCGACGCTCTATCTACTGAGCCAAACCGGTTTCGGCTTTTTCATTATTTAGAGAATACTTTATTAGTTTCTGTAATCAAACCCATGTAGATTAAGACCTTACATGTTTAATACAGTGCGTTACCCCTGTACAAATGGAAAAAATTATGTTGAATGTTTCTAGACTAATATGGCTGTTAATTTCTGTACAATGCCAACCAAACACAGTACAACTGGGATAGTTTTTCCAAAGTTGACAGCACAGCTAAAGTTTCCAAAAATTCAAATATATATATATATATATATATATATATATATATATATACCAATAGCAGTATTTTATGCATCAATAGCAACAGCTTTTCCAGGTTCTGCAGTCATCTGAACAAAATTATAGACATCCAGCACACTCCAATAAAAAAAAAAAAAGTAAAAAACAAATCTCCAGAAAACAGCAAAGTTCTATTACTGTTGTGGTACCTGGCACCATTTTCTTTTTTAAGCTTCTCCATCATCATCTGGAAAGAAAATATTCTAGGATAACATCATTAAAAACAGCTCTGATAAAGCACGGTCACTGCTACGTATCATCAAGCAGGTACAAGGTATTTTCCATTCACAGAGGTATGATACAGCCCTGCCCTACGTCCATAATACTAGAGATACATTTAAAAAGGCATTGTTTGAGACTTGATTCTGTTTTCCCAGCAGAGGCCCCAAGGGTGGGACGGCAGCTGTGGGAAGACGCACCTTCTCAGACAGGTTTTCCTCTCATTAGTGGCACAGTTCTAGGTATGGAATGCTCTTCATGAATATCACCTAAAAACCGTTTCAGAAAGACCAAAAAGAACAAACAAAAACAATACCGCCCCCCCCCCCCCCACCTCATTGGATTCATATAAAGATGACCAAGTGGAAGCAGGCAAGACTTGCCCCAACCAATATTCACCAAACCCGCTGTGTGAGTGATCAGCACTCCACAGGAGAGAAGCCCAGCCACACTTCACAGCTTGGGTCACACCAAAGCACGGCATCATTTCAAAAAGCAGCAGTAGCCGGGCACTGCCCACCCGGGCATGTTCAGGTGTTGGGGTCCAACCCCAATAGGCCCAGGGGTCCCCAAAGGTGTGGACGGAGTCGGCGAAGAAGGAATGACACGGAGACAGCGTTCATTTGATCAGCAGACTAGCTAGGATCTCTAGCCAAGTTCTGGTCAGGATCTCCAGCGAAGTTCTGGTTAGGATCTACAGCCAGGTTCTGTGTCCATGTTCTCTTGCTAGGTTCTCCAGCCAGGTTCTCCAGGTTCTCCAGCCAGGTTCTGTAGCCATGTTCCCTCGCTAGGTTCTCCAGCCAGGTTCTGTCCAGGTTCTCTAGCCAGGTGCTGTCTCTAGGTTCTTCAGCCAGGTTCTCTCGCTAGGTTCTGTCTCCAGGTTCTGTGGCCAGTTTCTGTCCAGGATCTTTTGCCATGTTCTCTCCAGCGAAGTTCTCTCTCTAGGTTCTGTGTAGGTTCTGTGTCTAGGTTCTGTGTCCTGTTGTCTTGTTACATCTGTATTTATACCAGTTGATTCCAATCCTATCAATCTCTATTCCAAAGGTTAGGGTGTTTCTTATCTCCATTCCAGGGAGTAAAGATTATGTAGCTTAAGCATGATTGTTCGTAGTTAAAGTGATTAATTACCCGCCTGGCACTTAGTTAAGGGGTTTTATTCCCTCCCTAACTTCAGGGGAAAATCCCTACCTGGGGAAACAACCTTTCTCAGAGAGGTGACCTTGGTTAAAACACATAGTGCCAAGAAGGTGAGCAAACATATTAAGAACAGTATGCCATATATGCCAGGTCCCTTGAAACAGCAAGGATGCACTGGCTCCCGGCATTCAGGGTGCTGACACCACTTGTCTTTTATGTTTTAAAAATAGAGCTAAAGAAGTAAAAAGTCAGATTAGGCATGTGAATTCCAAATTTTTAAAAAAATGTATTTTTATTGATTTCAGAGAGGAAGGGAGAGGGAAAGATAGAAACACCAATGATGAGAATCATGGATCAGCTGCCTCCTGCACGGCCCCTACGGGGGATCGAGCCTGCAATCCGGGCATGTGCCCTGACCAGGGAATCGAACTGTGACCTCCTGGTTCATAGATCTATGCTCAACCGCTTAGCCACGCTGGCCGGGCTTAAAATTGGAAATGTATTATTTTTGATATTAAAGGAAGATGTGGATTCCTACATGAAACAGCCTGGGAATGAGACTGCGGATACAGTGCTGAAGAAATTGGATGAACAGTACCAGAAGTATAAGTTTATGGAACTCAACCTTGCTCAAAAGAAAAGGAGGTAAGCATAGAAATTTCCAAGTTTTTAAAAAAGTTAATCTGGTATGACTTAAACTTTTAAAAAGTTGACTTTTTTTTTTTCTTCAAATTCCAGCTCTGATCTAAATACCTTTTATTAAAGTTCTATGTAGCAATCTTCTTCCCTAATGGTTAGTGCTTTTGTATCCTGTTTAAGAAATATTTGTCTCTTCCAAGTCCATGAAGATATTCTCTTAATGCTTTATTCTTAAAGCTTTAATGATTTCTTATTCACATTTAGATCTATAATCCAGTTATTCAGAAGTGTGTTGTGCTAAATTTCAAAGCAATCGTGGATTTTCAAGTATGTTTCTTTTTCTTCTCCATTTACTATAAATTGATAGTTGGATCTACAGCAGTGATTCCTAAAGTGGGCGCTGCAGCGATCCAGGGGGGCGGTGATGGCCACAGTTGCATTTGTTTTAACTTTTTTTATATTACCTTTCTATTCTGAGATCAATAAATAGTTTCATAATTTCAAACTTCAATGTTTCTAATTTACACCTTTCTTTACTATATTTTACGAAAAAGGTAGAAACATTAATACATATATCTTTTTGTTTAATTGCTATTAAAATTTAAAAAAAATTAATTTCCAGGGGGCGCTGAGTAATATTTTTTCTGGAAAGGGGGCGGTAGGCCAAATAAGTTTGGGAACCACTGATCTACAGTCTTGATCGTATTAAGTTTTTTTTGGCAACATTGCTTCATAAGTTTATTATTGTTCTTCCATTAAGAGACATAGTATTTTGTCCCTTTTTATGATACTCAATGCCTAGATCCATTAATTATGAATTGCAAGATGATGATGTTCTAATTCAGTTATTATTTATTTATTTATTAATAAGCTGGCATACTTCTATAAAAAGAAGCATCCCCTCATGTACTACTTGGTAAAAGTGGCTGTAGGAAATCAGTTTCCCTCTCAATCTCTTCCCTTTCAGGAGCCTTTTTTTTTTTTTTTTAAAAATATATTTTATTGATTTTTTACAGAGAGGAAGGGAGAGGGATAGAGAGTTAGAAACATCGATGGGAGAGAAACATCAATCAGCTGCCTCCTGCACACCCCCCACTGGGGATGTGCCCGCAACCAAGGTACATGCCCCTGACCGGAATCGAACCCGGGACCCCTGAGTCCGCAGGCCAACGCTCCATCCACTGAGCCAAACCGGTCAGGGCATGGAGTCTTATCCCTGTAGTTCCTATCCCCCCCCCCCCAGCAGCTCTCTGCTGCCTTCCAACAAAGAGGTGGATTTTCTCTGGCTCTTTGAGCGTTAGAGGTGGGAGCGCTGGTCTGTTGCCATCTTAACCTGAAATAATTTCTGTCCTTTAAAAAAACTTTTTACTCTATTTTATTAGGTGCATGCAATCTGAGAATTATGTCATCTTGGTGAATTGAAGCCTATGTAAAATTATGCTGATTGTGTTGAAATCTATTTTGTTGGATACTTACAGCTATCCCAGCTTTCTTCTGGCTAATATTACTTGGTGTATCTTTTCCAGTCCCTTTATTTTCAACCTTTTTATGATTTATATTTAAGGGTTTTCCATGTAAACAACATATGGTTTATTGTTATTATATTCAGCCTGTCTTTTTATGTAAACAAATTATTGTTTTTAGATACTTTCAAGGTCATCTTCATTATAATTTGTCTATGTGTGGATAGCTTTCTTAACTTCTTAAATAACTACATTTGATCCTTGAGCAGTGCAGGGGTTAGGGGTGTTGACCCCTCCCCCCCCCGAAGTCAGAAATCTGCCTATAACCTTTGACTCCTCAAAAATTTCACTATTAATAGCCTACTGTTGACTGGAAGCATTACTGATACATAGTGGATTAGCATATGTTTTGTATGTTATATGTATTATATATTGTATTTGTGTAATAAAGTAAGCTAGAGAAAAGAAAATGTTAAAATCATAAGGAAGAGAAAGTATGTATACAGTATTTATTTTAAAAATCCATGTATAAGTGGACCTACACAGTTCAAAACTCTATTCAGGGGTCAACTGTGTATGTCAGTTTCCTGTAACTATGTATACCTCTGTGGTTTGCCTTTATCCATAGAGGATTTTGCTTTTGCTCGGAGCTGTGAGTCTATACCAGCCTTGAACCACTTGAGCGCTGTTCCAAGTTCTTGAGCAAGTCAGGGGTCTAGGCTCAGGTCTATAGCTGGTATAGGCACCTGCCTTATGATGCCTACTTTTTGCTTGCCCTCTCACTGCTCAACTCAAAGCCATTTCTAGTTTTTTCCCTTTTACTTCATTTTTTAAAATATGTTTTTATTGATTTCAGAAGGAGGAAGGGAGGGAGAGAGACAGAAACATCAATGGTGAGAGAGAATCATTGATTGATTGCACCAACTGGGGATTGAGCCCACAACCTGGGCATGTGGCCTGACTGGGAATTGAACTGTGACCTCCTGGGTCATAGGTTGACATTATTCAACCACTGAGCCACACAGGCCAAGCCCTTTTACTTTTTTCTGAAATTCACCTCACCTCTGTGATGTCAGCTATGTGTTTTTGCAGCAGATGGCTCTATGTAGCCTGAATACTAACCTTTTTCTTTACATATGTTGCAAATCTTTCTCTGCTGGGGTCCAGCCCCAGCGGTCCAGGGGTTCCCAAAGGTGTGGATGGAGTCAGCGAAGAATGATTTACACGGACACAGCGTTCATAGCTCTCTAGCTCTCTTTAGTCTCCGTGGATCTTCCTGTGCCTGGCTGAGGCCACAGAGAAAGATCCCGAGGCAATCTGAGCCTTTATTTCTATAGTCAGAGGTAAACAAGGTAGTGGTTACCAAAGTTACACTGTTCTTGTGAGTTTCACTTGTTTTTGTTCTTGTTCTTGATGCACTTCCCTCAGTCCATTAGCTTCCCAGGTAAGATCTAGGTAGTGTCATAAGGTCAAGCCTAATTATGCTTAAGAGGACTGTGCCCTCTAAGCTGGGACTTGTTTGTGACTTTGCCAACAGGTCAGTCCGAGGTTTAACCCTATAGCGGCTCCCCACATCTTACCCTTCTTTTATTTTTATGCTACTATAAATGCAAGTTTTTAAGCTACCATAATGAAAGTAAAACGTAAGCATCAAGAACAAAACTCTGGCTATTAATAACAAAACTAGAGGCCCGGTGCACAAAAATTTGTGCACTCGGGGGGGAGGGGGGGTCCCTCAGCCTGGCTTGTGCCCTCTCGCAGTCTGGGACCCCTTGGGAGATAACGACCTGCTGGCTTAGGTCTGCTCCCGGGTGGCAGAGGGCAGGCCCAATCCCTAGGTGCAGCCCCTGGTCGGGCTCAGAGCAGGGCCGATTGGGGAGTTGGGGCGCCGCCCCCTGTCATGCACAGAGCAGGGCGGTTTGGGAGGTTGCGGTGCCACCCTCAGTCACGCTCAGGGTAGGGCCGATTGGGGGGTTGGGGCATCGCCCCCTGTCACACTCAAGGCAGGGTCGATGGGGAGATTGCGGCGCCACCCCGTCATGCACAGAGCAGGGCCAATCAGGGGGTTGGGGCACTGCCCCCTGTCACGCACAGAGCAGGGCCCATCAGGGTGGCTGGGGCTCCGTACCCTGTCACGCACAGAGCAGGCCCATCAGGGGGTTGGGGAGCTCCCCGCAGTCACGCACAGAGCAGGGCCCATCGGGGTTGAGGAGCTCCCCCGTGTCACTCACAGAGTAGGGCCGATAGGGGAGTTGGGGCACTGCCCCCTGTCACACACAGAGCAGGGCAGATCAGGGGGTTGGGGCGCCGCACCCTGTCACACAAAGAGCTGCAGGGTGATCAGGGGGTTGGGGAGCTCCCCCTATCAGGCACAGAGCAGGGCCGATCAGGGGGTTGGGGCACCTTCCCCTGTCAGGAACAGAGCAGGGCCGATAGAGAGGTTGTGGCCCTGCCCCCTGTCACACACAGAGCCGCAGGGCGATCAGGGGGTTTGGGTGCTGCCCCCGTGACGCTGATCCTGGTGCCGGGAGGCATATTACCCTTTTACTATATAGAATAGAGGCCTGGTGCATGGGTGGGGGCTGGCTGGTTTGCCCTGAAGGGTTTCCTGGATCAGGGTGGGGGTCCCCACTGGGGTGCCTGGCCAGCCTGGGTGAGGGGATGATGGCTGTTTGCAGCTGGTCACACACCCTTCAGGGTGTGGGTCCCCACTGGGGTGCCTGGCCAGTCTAGGTGAGGGGCTGAGGGCTGTTTTCAGGCTGGGACTGAAGCTCCCAACTGCTCCTTTTTTTCTTTTTTTTTTTTTATTCTGGGCCAGCTTTAGCTCTGAGGCTCCCGCTCTTAGGCTTCTGCTCCTGAAAGCAGGTATCTGGTTTGTTTCGGTCCTATAATCGAAACTCTGTATCAACTCCAGCTCTGAGATCCCGGCTGGCTGAAAGCAGGTTTCTGGGGTTTTGTTTAGCTTCTATATTCATTACAGTGTTTCTTAAACTGCAAGCTCAGAGGCCGGCAGTGGCAGGCGGGGAACGTTGGAGTCCTCTGTCACTGAAGCAAGCAAGCCTCATGTTAGTTTCAAGCTGCCTGGCTGCCGGCCGCCATCTTAGAGGGCAGTTAGATTAGCCAATGGGAAGGGTAGCGGTCGTACGCCAATTACCATGTTTCTCTTTTATTAGATAGGATAATGCCAATGCAAAACCCAAAACATTTTAAAACTTAAACATAACGTTTTTAAAACTACTAAGAATAATAAAACAATGGCAATGCAAAACAGCAATAAGTAAGTTTCTGCTAAATGAAAGTTTCTTTTGCTGATTTACTCAGAGTCCTTGGACGTGGCTGCGCAAGACTGGCAGCTAACCAATGCTAACATAGCCAGAAACATGGTTGAGGGAGTAGCTTCCACTTCTTGCTTTTCTTTCTTTCTTTTTTTTTCCTGTTAATAAGAGTATCTTTTATTTTAGAAGACAAATTTCTCAGCACTGTGCTCAAGCAATAAATCTGTGGTTTGAATTTGTACATGTGCTGGGGTCCAGCCCCAGCAGGTCCAGGGGTTCCCCAAGGTGTGGACGGAGTCAGTGAAGAAGGAATGACACGGAGGCAGCGTTCAGTCGATCATCGTAGCCAGGTTCTCTAGCCAGGTTCTATCCAGGTTCTCTAGCCAGGATCTCTAGCCAGGATCTCCAGCCAAGCTCTGCCTAGGATCTCCAGCCAGGTTCTGTAGCCATGTTCTCTCGCTAGGTTCTCCAGCCAGGTTCTGTCTAGGACAGGTTCTCCAGCTAGGTTCTCTAACTAGGTTCTGTCCAGGTTCTCTTGCCATGTTCTCTCGCTAGGTTCTCCAGCCAGGTTCTCCAGGTTCTCCAGCCAGGTTCGGTCGCCAGGTTCTGTCCAGGTTCTGTTGCCATGTTCTCTTGCTAGGTTTTCCAGCCAGGTTCTGTCCAGGTTCTCCTGCCATGTTCTCTCGCTAGGTTCTCCAGCCAGGTTCGGTCGCCAGGTTTGGTCCACTTCTTGCTTTTCTACCATCTGCTGGACCTCAGTTGTTAACTTCTTCAGCTGACCCCATGTTGGCACCTCAGACCCTTGCGTAGCCTTCATCATCTTCTTTTTCCGCTTTACTGTCATCTGGGCAACTCTCAGTCTTTGGAATGATGGGACAAGGAGCTTCTCTGGGTCCATTGTGGTGACACTTGTAATGCTTTGGTACCCAAATTGGCTGCACTGCTCCTTCCGGAAAGATACAAAACACAACCTCTTCCCCACATCATTACTAGATCTGGTAAAACTCTTGGCTGGTTTTTGTATCCTTCTACCAGGCGAAACCAGCAGAGGCTATTGTACAAGAGGCCCGATGCCTTTTGACTGCTGTACAACCCTCTGCATTGTAATTTTATTTTATTTATTTATTTATTTATTTTTATATATTTTATTGATTTTTCACAGAGAGGAAGAGAGAGAGATAGAGAGTTAGAAACATCGATGAGAGAGAAACATCGATCAGCTGCCTCCTGCACATCTCCCACTGGGGATGTGCCCGCAACCCAGGTACGTGCCCTTGACTGGAATCGAACCTGGGACCTTTCAGTCCGCAGGCCGATGCTCTATCCACTGAGCCAAATCGATTTCGGCTGTAATTTTAAAAAATTTAACATATAACATTCTTCTCCCCCTTTTTTGTTTTTATAGAAAAGGTTTATATTGGAATTCTGACCATATATAAACATACATCCTGCTCTGTATTCACAACTTCTCACTTCAACCCAAAAAACCGCAGCTTCACATTTCTAACCGTGAATTGGCTCCACCCCCGAGCCTCAGCACCTCAAAACAAAACCCCAATTTCGAGCCAAACTGTTAGTTTTTCCTTTTGTGTCAAGAGCTAACTTTGATATGTTAAAACTAAGTAAAATCCATTTACTCAATCCAAAGCAGGCATTAAAAAGAAAAACCCCAAATGCTCTCTTGTGTCCATTTTAAGAGTAGGATTGGCTCTTTCTGCTATTACCCGAGTCCTGATCTATCACCCCATGGAGAGCTTTCCAATCCTGCACTTTCCCGGGGTGCAAAGGCTGCAGTGGGGTTAAGGATAAGGCTCCTTGGGCCTACCTTCTCCCATGCCTCTACATTTACCTTTCCGGCACCTTTCCTTCCTCAGAAAAGCACGGACACGCTTGTATAAAACGTTCTGTCTGACTGGGAGTAACCTGAACTCCTCTGCTAGCAAGCATATGTGTTTAAAGATCAATAGAGTCTTTTTCCTTTAGACTCAGTATGGCACATCTTCTCAATCTAAGTTCTGTACTATCCACCTTCTTACCCTACTTATCCTCTATAGGGGGGGTCTGCAGTACCCTGGTGGAGTCCTATCCATCCCGAGTGTGGGGCTTCTTAATGGGGGGTGGGGGGGAGGCTTACCTAGGGGAATCCTGTTCGGGCGCCATCTGCCGGGGTCCAGCCCCATTTCTTTGTAGTCTGTTATTTATCCTTTACCTTCAGCTATGTAAAATTTCTGTATTTCATAATTCTCTTGTGGTGATCTCTTTAATACATGAATCACATGCCTTTTATCTTTAACTGGAAATTTTGTGATTGCCATTTAAAAGTGTTTTTTTATCATCTGTTAATTTTTTTCTTTCTCTCCTGGGATTGCCTGTTAATATGCATGTTGACACTTCCAATTCTGCCTTTCATTTCTTTTTATCATCTCTTCTGCTGACTTTGTATTTCATTTGTCTTTTGGCAATTAGATGGATATCTGTGAGTCCTTTATTTCAACCATTATTACATTTTCTATAACTAATAGTTTTGGTTGGTTCTTATTATATCTGCTTGTTTCTTCTTCATATTACCAATATCCTGTCTTTTCTCTTTGAGGTATTTTTAATACTTACTGTATAATGTTATCTTTTAGCATTTAATTTTGTTTCATCTGATAGAGGTTGTTGAGTTTATTTTCTTTATTTAATTATAGTTGCGTTTATCAGATTACCATTTCTTTGCCCTGTCAGCTCATATTCTCTCAGGGATATTAGTTACTTTGGCCAGTAATATATGTGGGGGTGGGAGTAATTTAAGTCCATCCTGGTTTGGAGGGGTAGGAAGAATGCTGCTGGCGTTAAAATATAGGGCGTGGCCACTAGACAAATGCTCCCTCTTCCTAACCAAGTAACTTGGCTTACAGGGATTCTCTTTTCCTTTGCCCTTGGCTTTCTTCCCTGACATTACCCCTGGGTGTGGGAGTGGGGAATGGAGACTACTGAGGCCAGTATATACTTGTACTTATCTTCCCAGCTCCTCCTGTCCTTGGCTAATTCTACTGTTTTTCTACCCTGTAACAGTTATGGGGTAGGTATAGTGATTCACCCAGGGCAATTCAGAAGGACAAAAAAAACACCCAAAGAGTTCTTCCTTAGCCTACTCCCCTGTGGAAGACTTGGTTCACTTCCTTTCGAAGCTACTTCACTTCCCTACCTACTCCAAGGACCTAGAGATCTCCACTGTCCAAATAATAACAAAGACCAAGAACTGACCCAATTGTCCATTAACAGGAGATTAGATAAATTGTTCTGTATTCATAATTGGATATTACACAGCAGTGAAAATGAATGAACAAGTCCTAGAAAAACTAAATGAGGTTAAAACGTAAACCTCCTAAAGTACATGAGATCGTTTTTATTGAGCTGAGAAACCAGCAAAGCATATATTTAGTGATACACATGTATGTGATGAAGCTATTTGAAAAAGGATACAGTGACTGTGAACACAGTTCAGGAGAGCTACTGTTTCTTGGCATGGAGAAAGGTGGGGTGAGGAATGTAGTGCTTGGACATGCACAGTGGCCTTGGCAATCTGGTTCCTAAGTTAGCTGGGGCTGCAGCTGCTTGATTCATTAATATGCATCATAATTTATGTATCACATATAATTTATACATACGAAAATATAGAAATAATTTACATGGCAAAAAACTTGATCTGAACATACTTATGTTGTGTGTGTATTAGATATTTTACAAATGAATACACTTAACTCAGTTTCTAACATTTAGGTCTGTGAGTCATTTTGACATGATTTTTGTGAAGTGTATAAAGGCTGTGTCTAGATGCATTTTTGTGTGTGCATATCTAGTTCTAGGCTAGTAGTTTTGCTGGTAGCTATCGATGTAACTTAACCTGTTGTATGGGATCAAACTCATCATGCCCATCATCATTTTTAAAAATTTCTGTCTTTAAACAAATGATCCATTTATAATTTAAAAAAGCATTTATCAGTTTAAAAGCATGTATCAAGAAAAATTACCCAAAACTTAAAAGAATCACTAAGTTATACTGTGTCATAATGTGGTGTGTTACACAGTCAGTGATATTGTACATTTCTTACAGTGTGACAAGCGTAAGCCCTGAGAAGCTGCCAGTGTACTTGGCTGGCATTTGGCTGACGGTGATGTACTTGTCTGTGCATTGAGTACTCGCCAGGAGCAGCTACGTGCAGCCCTGGTTAGGGAGTTGGTGGTTTCCAGTGGTTTCGAGTTCAGAATATAATATTTGAATGCACATTATTTTTAAAAGTAATCCGCTTAAAATGCAGTTTTGATCAAATGTGGGATTTCTGAATCATCTCTGTGGAATATGGTTTGCTCTTGAAATGTTAAGTAATGATGTGATGTTTGATAGAATGGGGCTTTGTGTACAATAGGTATTCTATAAATACTGTTATCGTATCTAAATATGTTAGTAAATATTTATATCTTAAATATTTTGATAAACCTTATGAAAGATCTTAAATATTTTATATTTGTAAATAGTCCTCAAGAACATATCAGTAGAATAGGCAAAACTTGTAAGACTGTGTCCTGGTGTTTATTCTTGCTGCGAAGCCCTAGGTTAACCTCTTTTCTTATTCACAGGCTAAAGGGTCAGATTCCTGAAATTAAGCAGACTTTAGAAATTCTGAAATACATGCAGAAGAAGAAAGTAAGTGCATTTTTGTTTATAAATGTGAGTGAACCAGGATACTTCAGAGATGCGTTTTTCTTGACTCTGCTCACTGGTATTTGATGTGTGCTGGGAGATCTAGTCAGCCTTCTCGACCACGTGTACTGATGTTATAGACAGTGTGCTTCCGTGATAAACGTGGTTTTGTGGCTTCCTCCTCCAAACCATGTTTAATTCTAGGGCCCATACTTGCATTATTTTATTTCTGTGTACTATTTGCAAAACTTAAATGCAATTTGAAATTATTTTAGACTAGAGGCTCGGTGCACAAAAATTTGTGCACTCGGAGGGGAAGGGGGGGGTCCCTCAGCCCGGCCTGTGCCCTCTCGCAGTCTGGGACCCCTCGGGAGATAATGACCTGCTGGCTTAGGTCTGCTCCCGGGTGGCAGAGGGCAGGCCCAATCCCTAGGTGCAGCCCCTGGTCGGGCTCAGAGCAGGGCCGATTGGGGAGTTGGGGCGCCGCCCCCTGTCATGCACAGAGCAGGGCGGATTGGGATGTTGCGATGCCACCCTCAGTCACGCTCAGGGTAGGGCCGATTGGGGGGTTGGGGCACCGCCCCCTGTCACACTCAAGGCAGGGTCGATGGGGAGATTGCGGCGCCACCCCGTCATGCACAGAGCAGGGCCAATCAGGGGGTTGGGGCGCTGCCCCCTGTCACGCACAGAGCAGGGTCAATCAGGGGGTTGGGAGCTCCCCCCGTCACGCACAGAGCAGGGCCCATCAGGGGGTTGGGGAGCTCCCCGCAGTCACGCACAGAGCAGGGTCAATCAGGGGGTTGGGAGCTCCCCCCGTCACGCACAGAGTAGGGGCAATGGGGGAGTTGGGGCACTGCCCCCTGTCACACACAGAGCAGGGCGGATCAGGGGGTTGGGGCACTGCCACTGTCACACTCAGGGCAGGGCTGATGGGGAGGTTATGGCTCTACCCCATCACACACAGAGTAGGGCCCGTGGGGGGGGGGTGTTGGGGCACCGCCCTCTATCACCCACAGAGCAGGGCCGATCAGGGGGTTGGGGCGCTGCCACTGTCACACTCAGGGCAGGGCTGATGGGGAGGTTATGGCTCTACCCCATCACACACAGAGTAGGGCCCGTGGGGGGGGGTGTTGGGGCACCGCCCTCTATCACCCACAGAGCAGGGCCGATCAGGGGGTTGGGGCGCCGCCACTGTCACACTCAACGCAGGGCCGATGGGGAGGTTATGGCTCTACTCCGTCACACACAGAGCAGGGCCCGTGGGGGGGGGCATGTTGGGGCGCCGCACCCTATCACACACAGAGCAGGGCTGATCAGGGGGTTGGGGCGCCGCACCCTATCACACACAGAGCCGCAGGGCGATCAGGGGGTTGGGGAGCTCCCCCATATCAGGCACAGAGCAGGGCTGATCAGGAGGTTGGGGCGCCTTCCCCTGTCATGAACAGAGCAGGGCCGATAGGGAGGTTGTGGCCCCACCCCCTGTCACACACAGAGCCGCAGGGCGATCAGGGGGTTTGGGTGCTGCCCCCTGTCACGCTGATCCCGGTGCCGGGAGGCCTCGCGGCTCCGCTGATCCCGGTGCTGGGAGGCATATTACCCTTTTACTATATAGGATAGAGGCCTGGTGCACGTGTGGGGGCTGGCTGGTTTGCCCTGAAGGGTGTCCTGGATCAGGGTGGGGGTCCCCACTGGGATGCCTGACCAGCCTGGGTGAGGGGCTGAGGGCTGTTTGCAGCTGGTCACACACCCTTCAGGGTGGGGGTCCCCACTGAGGTGCCTGGCCAGCCTGGGTGAGGGGATGATGGCTGTTTGCAGCTGGTCACACACCCTTCAGGGTGGGGGTTCCCACTGGGGTGGCTGGCCAGCCTGGGTGAGGGGATGATGGCTGTTTGCAGCTGGTCACACACCCTTCAGGGTGGGGGTCCCCACTGGGGTGCCTGGCCAGTCTGGGTGAGGGGCTGAGGGCTGTTTTCAGACTGGCGGGTGACGGAAGCTCCCAACCTCTCCTTTTTTTCTTTTTCTTTTTTTATTCTGGGCCAGCTTTAGCTCTGAGGCTCCAGCTCTTAGGCCTCCGCTCCTGAAAGCAGGTATCTGGTTTGTTTCGGTTCTATAATCGAAACTCTGTATCAACTCCAGCTCTGAGATCCCGGCTGGCTGAAAGCAGGTTTCTGGGGTTTTGTTTAGCTTCTATATTTGTTACAATGTTTCTTAAACTGCAAGCTCAGAGGCCGGCAAGGCAGGCGGGGAACGTTGGAGTCCTCCGTCACTGAAGCAAGCAAGCCTCATGTTCAGTTTAAGCTGCCTGGCTGCCGGCCGCCATCTTGGCTGGCAGTTAATTTGCATATCTTGCTGATTAGCCAATGGGAAGGGTAGCAGTCATACGCCAATTACCATGTTTCTCTTTTATTAGATAGGATAACGAAAAGAAGACGTCTTATTTTGCAGTAGCAGCATCTAAGGTTTTTTGTTGTTACTGTTCTCCCTGAGAATAAGGAGGGAGTCCAAGACTTCTCGAGCTGGAAAGAATCTTAGAAATTATGTTTCAGATTCTCGTTTCACAGCTGACCATACAGTTACAGAGAAGTTCTTACCCAGTGTCACATAGCTAGTTACTGGCAGAACTAGATTTGAGAATCTTCGGAGTCTTAATCCAATACTCATTAACTAAAAGAAATCTGTAAAAATTAAATTTCATAAGGATGTTGTATTAAAAGGTTATATGTGTGGCTATATGATGTATTACTTGACTGGTAGAGTAACTGCATTTCCTGTACATTATTTTATGTCGGTGAACTTGGTAAGATTTCAGAACTGGTGGTTGGGCATGAAGCACTGATTAAATAAGAATAATAGCTAATCCTTGTGTAGTGCCTACTCTGTACCAGGCACTGGTGTGTGTGTGTGTGTGTGTTCGCGTGTTCCTGTGTTCACGTGTGTGTGTTCGCACGCGCGCTCTGCTTGTGATGGCCTTCAGAGGTGTGGGGACTATTATCCGTATTTTACACATGAGGAACCTGAGACACAGAGGTTAAGTGATAAGCCAAATTTTTTTTAAACTTGTTTTGTAACTCCAGTTTTTAACGGTAGTGACCTTTTTAAAAAAATACATATTTTATTGATTTTTTACAGAGAGGAAGGAAGGGAGAGGGATAGAGAGTCAGAAACATCGATGAGAGAGAAACATCGATCAGCTGCCTCCTGCACACTCCCACTGGGGATGTGCCCGTAACCAAGGTACATGCCCTTGACGGGAATCGAACCTGGGACCTTTCAGTCCGCAGGCCGACGCTCTATCCACTGAGCCAAACCGGTTAGGGCGATATGCCAAATTTACACAGGTAGTAGGCAGTTGAACCAGAATCCATGTCCAGCCATCTGGCTCCAAGCATTCATTTCTTTTAACACTATACTTAGTTTGCATGATGGTGCTGTTTTTTTATTTTTATTTTTTTTAAGTATATTTTTATTGATTTCAGAGAGGAAGGGAGAGGGAGCGATAGAACCATCAATGATGAGAGAGAATCATTGATTGGCTGCCTCCTGCACGCCTCCTGCTAGGGAGCAGGCCCGCAACCTAACTGGGAATCGAACCGTGACCTACTGGTTCATAGGTTGATGCTCAACTACTTAGCCATACTGGCTGGGTACATGATGGTACTAATTTAAATGGCTTAGGTTCAGCTGTGAGCTCTCTCCTTTATGACCTTGGTATTAAACTGGTCTGCTTATAGTACTATAATTTTTTTTTTTTGAAGGAGTCCACCAATTCAATGGAGACCAGATTCTTACTGGCAGATAACCTGTACTGCAAAGCTTCAGTTCCTCCTACCGATAAAGTGTGTCTGTGGTTGGGGGTAAGTAAATATAATAGCCACAGCTTCATTGGCTGACATTGCTTTCCCTGTTTGAGCTACGTAAATGCTTATCTCCTTTTGACTGTTGAAGGAAGGGGTGGGATTCAGGTGGTCCATATTAGAAATTGACTGAAATTAGGAGTGCGATGAAAATTGTTACAAAAACCTTCTCAAGTCTCTGCCAAACAAACACAACTGACCAAGCCCTACTTCCCTTCAGCTACTGCTTTATCTCTTATATGTAACTGAAGGCGGGGCAATGGAAGGAGCTGCTGAACCTCAGATAAATGTTCCTTCCCAATAGGAGTTTATAAGTTCTAGAAAGATCTCTCTAAACTTGGTGGTGGTGGGGGGAAGATTATTATTAAAAAAAACCTTGAGGTTGGAGTTCAGTTTTTAAACCATACACTTCAGCTTTAGATGATATCATAGACCTTGCTTTGATGCTTCCTTTATTACTCCTCTCAGTCCCCTAACCAAGCCATTCCTGACTGTCTAGCTCAGCAGTCGCCAACCTTTCGGACCTCACGGACCACCAGTGGTCCGTGGACCACCAGTTGGTGACCGCTGGTCTAGCTAGCTGTCCATAGGTCTTGTTATCGCAGGCAAGTTCCCATACAAAAATAGAAAGTCAAGTGTACTGTTCCCAGCTTTCCCCACTGAGGACTCCCCCTTGCTGCTGTTTTGTGGAATCACCCCTGAGAGAGACCTGTGAAAGGAGGACCGTTTAGTACACAGACACTCACCTCTCTAACCCTTAGTTCCTCCTCCTGGTTGTTGTTGATTGTAATATCTTCAGAGTTTGTGCACTTAATTCTATACGATCATTCCCATATTTGTTGAGTTTTTTAAAAATATTAATTAAAGCTTTATTGTTCAGATTATTACATTTGTTCCTCTTTTTTCCCCCATAACTCCCCTCCACCCAGTTCCCACCCCACCCTCCTCCCTCACTCCCCACCCACTGTCCTCATCCATAGGTGCACGATTTTTGTCCAGTCTCTTCCCGCATCCCCCTCACCCCTTCCCCCCCAAGAATAGCCAGTCCATTCCCTTTCTATGTTCCTGATTCTATTATAATCACCAGTTCATTCTGTTCATCAGATTATTCACTTGATTTTCAGGTTCACTTGTTGATAGATGTGTATTTGTTGTTCGAAATTTGTATCTTTACCTTCTTCTTCTTCCTCTTCTTAAAGGATACCTTTCAGCATTTCATATGATACTGGTTTGGTGGTGATGAACTCCTTTAGCTTTTTCTTATCTGTGAAGCTCTTTATCTGGCCTTCAATTCTGGATGATAGCTTTGCTGGATAAAGTAATCTTGGTTGTAGGTTCTTGGCATTCATCACTTTGAATATTTCTTGCCACTCCCTTCTGGCCTGCAAAGTTTCTGTTGAGAAATCAGCTGACAGTCCTATGGGTACTCCCTTGTAGGTAACTGAATTTCTTTCTCTTGCTGCTTTTAAGATTCTCTCTTTGTCTTTTGCTCTTGGCATTTTAATTATGATGTGTCTTGGTTGGTCCTCTTTGGATTCCTTTTGTTTGGCGTTCTCTGCGCTTCCTGGACTTGTAAGTCTATTTCTTTCACGAGGTAGGGGAAGTTTTCTGTCATTATTTCTTCCAATAAGTTTTCAATATCTTGCTCTCCCTCTTCTTCTGGCACCCCAATAATTCGGATGTTGGTGCACTTGAAGCTATCCCAGAGGCTCCTTACGCTATCTTCCTATTTTTGGATTCTTTTTTCATTTTGCTTTTCCGGTTGGGTGTTTTTTGCTTCTTCGTATTTCAAATCGTTGACTTGATTCTTGCAATCCTCTAGTCTGCTGTTGGGAGTCTGTATACTATTCTTTATTTCAGTCAGTGCATGCTTAATTTCTACTTGGTCCTTTATCACAACCTCGAGGGTCTCATTAGATTTCTTGTAGATCTCATTAAGTTTATCGGCAGTTTCTAGAAAATTCTTGAAAAACCTTAAAAGTGTGGTTTTGAACTCCATATCCAGTAGTTTGCTTTCCTCCATTTCTGTCATTTGTGTCCTTTTTCTTTGTCTCCGCATTTTTTATGCTTCCCTGTGTTGATAAAGTGGTTTTCTGTGCTAAGTGTCCTATAGGGCCCAGTGGTTCAGCCTCCCCAATTACCTGAGGAGGACACTCTTGGTGCACCCCCTTGTGGGCTTTGTGCACAGTCTTGTTGAGTTTTACTTCTGCAAGTGGAACCGCCATTCACCCAGCGGCTCAAATCCTAGGGGTCATTCACCTTGGTTTCTCTTTCCCTCCACCCACATTCCATCAGCAGGCGGGGATGAGATGATTCCATTCATTAGCCTGGGACAACAGGGAACTCTGGGAAGAATTACGGCTGGAGCCCACCTGACATCTCACACTAGGATGAATTCCACATGGATCACATACTTACACGGAGTGCTGACACCATCAAATTTTAGGCCAACTCCGAGACGACATATTTTGTAACCCTGAAATAGCAATGGTTTTTTAGGCCACAAAGGTCAGAAATCGTAAGTCAAAAGACAATGAACAGGAAACTCATATTGCAGCAAAGCACTAAGAGTTTTGTGGGGGACTAGGAGTTGTGTTTTGGGCATGTCCGTCCTAGATGCCTATTTAGAGCGTCAAGTGCAGAGGCTGATAAGGCAGCGTTTGAGGAGTGACTCAACTGAGGAGAAATTCTTGGCACAGGGTACTTCCTGAAGAACAATTGATGCTTTCTAGCATAAATGAAGTGTTTTTAAATGTATTATCTGAATTTTTATGCAGTTTTCTAATTACGGATTGCGTTAGTCGGTATTTTTGCAGCACCTACTTTGTGCCAAACACTTTCATGTTGTCTCATTTGATGCTTACAGCAATCCTGTGAGTCATTTTAAAATCCCATTTATCCGATGAGGAAAGTGGTTCAGGAAATGCTTGGTGGTAAGTCAGGTGATAGGAGGAGTTCGGAGCTGGAAAAGGTATGGTTCCCCCCTCCACAGTGCACACACCCCAAGTGTCGGCAGTAACACCAGCTCTTGAGAATCCCAGACACAGTCACCTTGCCTTCACCCCTAACATCTGTTGGCGGTAGAAGGGGGACAGTAAAAGCTAGCTGTTTTTCTTATTGAATCAAACATAGATGTATTGGAAAACTTTTAAATTATTGTATCTTAACATCAGAAACAGCTATTTAAATGGATTCAAATGTAACACTACTTAGTGTCATGATGGAAAGATAGGTTTTGGTATCTAAACATTGGTTTTTACCCTAATTCTCCCATTTACTTACTAGCTATGCAAACATAAGCAACCTAACATTTCAACCTGTTTTCTTAACTGTAAAGATGAAAATAACTTGCCTTACCAGGGTTGTTACTAGGAGTAAATGATATAATGTATGTAGATATATTCTCTAACCCAGGGGTCAATACACTTTTTTTTTTAATCCTCACCTGAGGATATTTTTCCCATTTTCCCGTTGATTTTTAGAGAGAATGGAAGGGAGGGATGGGGAGAGAGAGAATGAGAGAAAGAGAGAGAGAGAGAAAGATAGAGAGAGACACATCGAATGGTTGCCTCCTGCACACACCCCGAGCCTGATCGGGCTGGGGTCAAACTTGCAACCATGTATGTGCCCTTGATTGGGGATTGAATCTGAGACCCTTTGGTCTGCGGACTGATGCTCCAACCACTGAGCAAACTGGCCAGGGCTCAATAAACTTATAAAAAAGGTCAGAGAGTAAATTTTTTTTGTTGTTGTTGTTTTTCTGTTGTTTTTTTTTAATATATATATTTTATTGATTTTTTACAGAGAGGAAGGGAGAGAGATAGAGAGTTAGAAACATCGATGAGAGAGAAACATCGATCAGCTGCCTCTTGCACATCTCCTACTGGGGATGTGCCCCCAACCCAAGTACATGCCCTTGACCGGAATCGAACCCGGGACCTTTCAGTCCGCAGGCCGACGCTCCATCCACTGAGCCAAACCGGTTTCGGCAGAGAGTAAATGTTTTTGGTTTTGCAGACCATTTGGTCACTGTCACAACTACTCAGCTCTGACACTGGCTTGAAAGCAGAAGTGCGTGGAGAATAGCTGGGTTCCAATAAAACTTAAGACAAAAGGCAGCCGGCTGGATTTCGCCCAGCCCCTGCTCTAACCTATAAAGCACTATGTGAATGTTTAGTAATTCTCATGACTCTCTCTCTTTCTCTCAGGCTAACGTAATGCTTGAATATGATATCGATGAAGCTCAGGCATTGTTGGAAAAGAATTTAACAACTGCCACAAAAAACCTGGATTCTCTTGAGGAAGACCTTGACTTTCTTCGAGATCAGTTTACTACCACTGAAGTCAGTATCCTTTCTTAACAAGAAACAAAGGGAGGAAAGGGTAAAGATGTTTACAATGTTCTTTCTTACATTGCTTTAATGAGAAGAATGTCCTTATTCTTAGACCAATCAGTCTTACCTCCTGCCACTGACTCTTTCTGCCCTAGCCCTCCCCCAAAATGCCACACTCTTTGCTTTTCCTCACTTTGTTCCTCGTGCCTGGAATGATTTCCTCCCATTTACCTGGGTTACTTTAAAAAAATGTTTTATTGATTTCAGAAAGGAAGAGAGAGGGAGAGAGAGAGATAGAAACATCAGTGATGATAGAGAATCTTTGATTGGCTGCCTCCTGCACGTCCCACACTGAGGATTGAGCCCACCACCCAGGCATGTGCCCTGACCAGGAATGGAACCGTGACCTCCTGGTTCATAGGTCGATGCCCAACCACTGAGCCCCACTAGCCGGGCAGACCTGGCTTACTTTTTATCCTTCATATTTCAGCACAAGCATCAGAACATTTTTGAACATTTTCTGACCCTCTCAGGGTGTTTTGTTCCTCTGGGCTTACCTAGCACTTTGCACATAGTTCTTCATTTGTTTTTCATGTCAGACTACGAGTTCTTCAAGTGTAGAAGCTGTACTTTCTCCACAGTATGTAGCACCTGGCAGGCATTGAGTGCTTGGGTGAGGGAAGGCAGGCCTGTTTGAGGCCAGAGCGGGGATGGTGTGTGACTTGAATGTAAAGACTTTGGAGAAAAAAATAACCCGTATAATTCCCAGAAGGTAGCATAGGAGCAAACCTAGATGACCTTGAGTATGATGTTGACTTTGTGGATACAACACCAAAGTCACTATCCATGGAAGAAGTACAGTGGGGCCTTGACTTACAAGTTTAATTCGTTCTGAGACCGAGCTCGTTAAGGAGCTCGTTAAATTACTCTATCAACTCAATGCAAAAAATCGGCCGAGAGACAGCTGGTATCTCAAAAAACTCGTTAGTCGGGACACTCGTAAGTCAAGGCCCCACTGTAATTGATATGTGAGGGCCTACACAGGTGCTGCTTGTGGAAAGGAAAAGATGTAGGTGCTTAATAATTTTTTTTTTTGGTGCTTAATAAATTGAATGACCTATTAAAGGGAAGGGCAAAGGTAAAATTATTGATAATTAAATTATACTAATTTAAATATTACATATCAGGATAAGGGGCTGTCTTTAAAACTGTTGACAGTGTCAAGCACATATATGTTAAATATAATACCATAATTGATTAAATATGCTAAACAATTGCTGATTTGACACCTTGACTTAATTTTGGTGGAATTTAGTTCCAGTATTTTCGTAGCAAATGATATTATAGCAAGATGGCTCATGCCCTGACCGGTTTGGCTCAGTGGATAGAGTGTCGGCCTGCAGACTGAAGGGTCCCAGGTTCGATTCTGGTCAAGGGCATGTACCTTGGTTGCGGGCACATCCCCAGTGGGGAGTGTGCAGGAGGCAGCTGATCGATGTTTCTCTCTCATCGATGTTTCTAACTCTCTATCCCTCTCCCTTCCTCTCTGTAAAAAACCAATAAAAAAAAAAAAAGATGGCTCACAACACTACTTGTCACCAGTATTTTGTGTGTGTGATTTCTGACTTTGATTCAGTGTGTGTGCATACCCAGTCATTGCAAATGTTATCTTTAGAATTGCACTTGCATTTTCTTTAACAATTCTTGCAGATATGGCCAGGGTTTATAATTGGGACGTAAAAAGAAGAAACAAAGATGATTCCGCCAAGAACAAAGCATAATTCTCGCAATGAAAAATGTGGTTCATTTTTCCAAACATGTCCTTTTAAATATTCCAAAGTTTATTCTTAAAAGTTGACATTAATTTGAATGTTTTTTTAAACAGTAAGAATGATCATTAAAACTTTAGAAAGAGATAATCACTGACACCATTTTATTTATTTATGAAAACAAAATTAATTCCAAATATTTTATGGAATTAGCAGTATTTTTTACTTTTTATTTGCATTTCCAACATAGTAAATGCTACTTTCATCATTTTTTTGTTTGTTTATTTTAAGAAAAGTCTTAATTGAAATGGCTGAAAACAGATGTATGCTGTGGAGGCTGAATTCTGGACACTTAAGCACAGTTTACTTTTTCTTTATTATATGATGTTACTCTCAAATATTTGCAGACTTGCTTTTCTTCAGTACATGTGGGGCTTTATAGCCCTCTGTTGCTGTTATTTATTATAATATTCTGTACTTTACAGGAAATGGTCACTTGCCTTCTTAAGTTTTAAGAGGGTTCTTAAGACAACACTTTTTCCTGTCCTCTGTCAGTGCACAGTGTCTTTGCAATGCCAACATAAGGGAGATTTCAGCCAATATGAAATAACAAAATTACCCACTCAAACTCTTGGCTAAGGTGATTTTGTATTTCTTCATTCTCCAAAGCAGCTGAACAAAAATATTAAGATTAAAAACAACGGTTGAAACAACTTGTTTTTTTGTGTGTTTTTTTTTATTCATGTTAAAACCTTATAGGAATAGTAGTGGGTGATACAGATTCTGGTAAAAACACAAATGTATTATTCCATCTCCATGTAGTAAAAAGTATACTTACTTGTACAATGTTTTGTACTTGTATTTCATGTTATTAAAACAGTGAAGTTAAAACTGGCATGACACCCTTTTCATGTCATTCTTTCTCAAGTTAACATGGTCTTTTCACATACTCGTAAAGTTTATTTACTTGTACATATAACTTGCATGTCTCAAGAACTTCTGATGTTTGTAAAAAAACATAAAATCCCCTTGGCGGGATGGCAGATAAGCAAACAATTGAGAAGTTCGATCTGAAAGGTACCAAAGTTCCTTGAGTCAGTTTTTCTTCCATAATTTTAAATTCTCATGCTTTAGAATTTGAGGTTTATAAACATCTTACGATATCAAAAGTGCTACTTTTCCCCAAACTTTACTATGGAAATACGAATTTTTGGGTATTCTAGGCAGTAAGAAGAGAGACAGCTTTTTAGAAATATATATATATATATATACACACCCAGTATGTTGAGGAATGGTGTTAGGCTCTGATAATTACGTAAAAGAAAGATATTTAAACTCTGCCTCAGCCAGATCATTTCTCATATAATGGTTTACATTTTCAGAATTAACATAGCCAACTTGACTTGATATATTTTCAAGCTTAATCAGAATAGTAGTATAATATACCTAGAGAAGATATGGGAAAAGGATTAACTATAAAACTTGATACTGGGTAACAAATATGTTGGAAATGTAACTGAAATTTAATGATTTTTGCATGATAAAACCAAGGTTTGTTTTAGAAAATGGAGGGAAAAGATTTTAAGTTTGACTTGTAGTCTCCCTTAACATTCCGTCTTCCATTTCTTTTTCTATGCATAGTTTTTTAAAAATAACTTAAATATTTTTTTCTGTGATTTTTATCCATTCTTTACTTAACATGGAATTTACTTATATAGTGCTATTACATTAACATACTAGTTTTATAGTAGAAGCCTAATGTAGTAGACTGTGATTCACAGACATTTGGGTGGCTTTAAATTGTTTTCTCTATTTAAGTAACAAAGAATTCACTTTACATTTTTACATAGGGCTTTTTCTTGTATTTAAGATTTTTTTCCCTGAGATTAGATTACCAAAAATATAATTATGGTGTTAACGATTGTAGCGTTTTATTTTCTGGGGTTAACAGAGTAGTTTTGTCAGAAGCAACAGCAGGGGCTGATGGAAAGCACAGTTTATTCCCACTGCCTACCCTCTGCCATACAAACACGGATGGCCTTATCCAAAGCTGCATAGTCAGAGTCAGATCCAGCTCCTGAATTTCCCCCCTTTGTACCACGATGCCTTGCTCCTTTATGACTAAATTTGGTAAAAGTGTTGACTTAAGTTCAATCCTTTAATGAATGAATACTCTCCTTTGTATGTTTGCTGTTCTCTGCCCTAATCTTCAGTGGTACCTTTAAGGGTCTTAAGCCATTTCTTAAAGGTTTACTTATCTTGGTTGGTTCTAATCTCATACCCTTTTGATAGCCATGCCTGTGCCTATTTGGTATTAATGTGGGATTGTGCCATCTTTGAAGACACTGCCAAGTGCATGCACAACACCCATCACAGCTACACATATAAACTCCCAGGGCCTGGATAGGCCATGTCTGACACTAGTTTACTCTGAAGGACACGAGACAGGCAAGACACCATGCCAGGGGGCAGCTTTAGGCACAGTTCTGTGGGAATTCTGGCAGCAGTCCTCCCAAACTACACAGATGGGTGCAGGAGCCCCAGGCTTAGGAGCCTGAAGGGACCACTACCTCCTGGAAAAGTCCCCCGTGCCTAGCATCCCCATGTCCTGGCCAGGGACAGGCCCCAGGGACAACAGGTGCACTGCACTGGGAAGCCAGAGCTGTGGCTCCCAGCAAGTGTTTACGACCACTGACAGCCCTCCTGGCTTGGACACAAGGTACTACCCTGGGCATGTTACCTGAATTAATTTCCCCTGATCCCACAGCTGATGGTCCATCTTCATCAGGTTTCCAGGGGCAACCGAGCTAGAAAGCTAACCCAAGGTCAGTTGGTCACCTTGAAAGGAGAAAGGGGTTTGGAACACCTCACTCTTGTAGTTTGTTGAATCTTGCATAATCATGGCCCAGTTGTTACAATGGTTTATTTCCTTTTCTAGTTCCTTTTACATAAGGCCCCTTGGCTATTAAGTGCCTCTGCCAAAAAAAAAAAAATAGTAATCATTTATTTTCAAGGGCCAGATGGAAGCTTTTCTGTCCGTGTTAGGTAAAAATAAGGCATCAGCCGGGAAGTCCAAGTAGTTAGTCTCCAAAGTTTTATAATTACACAATGGGTTGGAGAGCTTTTCTTGACTCAAAAACCAAGTGATGCCACAATTTTAGACTATTTAGTCATTACAGAATGACTTTCTAGAATAGTGGCCAAAATTGATTACATTTCTCATGTTTATACTTTTTATTTTGATACTTTATAACTACAACCAGTGTCATAAAGGAGATGCGGGCCTGCTGATTAACCATATTTCCTACATATCAATACTCTACAAATTGTGAGAAGGAACCATTTTTTTAAAAAATACATTTTTTTTTTTTATTTCAGAGAGGAAGGGAGAAGGGGAGAGAGAGATAGAAACATCAATGATGAGAGAGAATCATGGATTGGCTGCCTCCTACATGCCCCACACTGGGGATCGAGCCCACAACTCGGACATGTGCCCTGACTGGGAATTGAATTGTGACCTCCTGGTTCATAGGTTGACACTCAACCACCGAGCCACACTGGCAAATGTCCCCTTTTTATAAGGACACCAGTCATTTGGATTAGGGATGTACCCGACTCTAGTATGATCTCAACTAATTCCATATGCAAGGACTCTATTTCCAAATAAAGTCACATTCACAGGTACTAAGGGTTAAGACTTCAACATAGCTTCTTGGGGAACACAATTCAACCCTTAATAGTTGCCATGCACTCAGCTACCACCCTGGTCCAAGTCACCAACATGTCTCCCGTGGATCATGGCATCACCTTCTGACTGCTCCCTGCTTCCACCTTTGCCCTCTTTCAGTCCATACTCTATTTTAACTTTTTTTTTTTAAATCCTCACCCGAGGATATTTTTCCATTGATTTTTAGAGAGTGGAAGGTAGGGGGAGAGACAGAGAGAAACATCAATGTGAGAGAGACACATCGATTGGTTGCCTCCTACACTCGCCCGGACCAGGGTCGGGGTTTGAGCCTGCAACCCAGGTTCATGCCCTGGACGGGAATGGAACCTGGGACTCCTCAGTTAGCAGGCCAACACTCTATCCACTGAGCCAAACTGGCCAGGGCCTTCGGTTCATACTCTAAAGCAGTGATGGCCAACTGGTGGTCCGTGAGGTCCGAAAGGTTGGCGACCACTGCTCTAAAGAAGTCAGAGGAGAGGGATCTTGGTACAATGTAAGAGCAGGTGTCTCTTGCTCAAAACTTCCTAGTGCCTCCCATCTCACTTAGAGCAAGCCACAGTCCTTAAAATGGTCTATAAAATGCTACCCAATCTGAGTCCCCCACTCCGTTTCTAAATTCATTTGCATAAGATGTCTTCCAATCTCTTCATTTACCCCCTAACATCCTTCCCCTTGTGCATTCGGCTCCAGCACAACTGTCTCTCTGCTCTTCCTGGAATGCACTTGTTTTGCTCCTATCTCAGGATTTTCCACTTGTTCTCTTTTTCTGGAAAGTGCATCCTAGGAATCTACAGATAGCTACACGGCTCACTCCTCAACGAGGTTGTGAGGTTGCCACTCAAATGTAACTTCATAAATAAGCTTCAGCCCTCGCTGGTTTGGCTCAGTGGATAGAGCATGGGCCTCCGGACTGAAGGGTCCCGGGTTTGATTCTGGTCAAGGGCACATGCCCAAGGTTGCAGGCTCGATCCCCAGTAGGGGGCGTGCAGGAGGCAGCCCATTAGTGATTCTCACTCATAACTGATGTTTCTCTCTCTCTCTCTCTCTCTCTCTCTCTCTCTCTCTCTCTCTCTCTCTCTCTTCCTCTCTGAAATCAATAAAAATATAAATAAAAAAGAAGAAATAAGCATCATATGACCATTTGCAATTATTACCCTTCCCCCACACAAATGCATATTCTTATTCAACATCCTTGCTTTAGTTACTCCTTAACAGTTAACTCAACTGTGTGCCATGGTTTGCCAGGGGAAGTTCTGATTTTTTAAAAATATATATTGATTTCAGGGCGAGAGAAGGATAGACAGAAACATCAATAATAAGAGACAATCATTGATCAGCTGTCTCCTGCACATCTCCCACTGGGGATCGAGCCTACAACCCAGACATATGTTCCTACCAGGAATCGAACCTTGACCTCCTGGTTCATAGATTGACGCTCAACTACTGAGCCACACTGGCCAGGCAGGGGTAGTTCTGATTTTTACCTGCAGTTAAACACCTAGTGATTATTTAGTGGCCCCTTCTACTTTCTCTTTTTTTAAAATAATACATTTGTGGTTGTTTTTTAAAAATATATTTTTATTGATTTCAGAGAGGAAGGAAGAGGGAGAGAGAGATAGAACATCCATGATGAGAGAGAATCATGGATTGGCTGCCTCCTGCAAGTCCCCCACTGGGGATGGAGCCCACAACCCGGGCATGTGCCCTTAACTGGAATCGAACCTGGGACCCTTCAGTTTGCAGGCTGACACTCTATCCACTGAGCCAAACCGGCTAGGGCGGCCCCTTCTGCTTTAATAGTGTCCCAACTTGGTTGGGATTTCTGGCCGGAGCACAGAAAAGGGAAGCCCAAGGGAACTGGAGAGTATTGGGGTGTGACACAGAGAGGGAGGAGCTCTGGAAAGCAACCCCATAATGTTGATTACCAACTCCTGGGTTCCCTATGTGCTCCTAACTAGCATACTAAAGACTTCCAGAACTGAACAAAAGGGTAGACCACCGCCCAGTTTTCCGACTGGCCACTGGGTGGTGCATGAACACAGGAAAGATCAGAGACAAAAGCTTTGAAAACAACCAGCAGAGGAACAACAGCCCACAGAGGCCACGTTGGAACATGTGACCTGAACCCACTCAGATAAACTGTCAGCTGAAACCAAAATAATGTTCTTGACAGAATTTAAAATTCTCTTATTATCTAACTTAAATATATGTGTAAACCGAGACTCAGAGATTGAATCACACATACATTAACTGGTAGAGTCAGAATTTGAAACCATGTTTGTCTTACTCCAAAATTCATACTCTTAACCACTATGTTAAATAACCATTTGAAAAAAAAAAGAAATCTGGAAGGAAGCAGACCAAACTTTAAACAATCATTTTCTTTAGGAACTGATAGCTTGATTGCAGTTGACCACAAGAGCCAGAAGAAAGAGGGAGGGAAACAAAGTCAAGGGCTGCAATGGTAGACTGGCACCAGTAGTAGTTGCCTGAAGATCTTAAGGAAGTTTCTTTTAAAAAATATACTTTTATTGATTTCAGAGAGGAAAGGAGAGGGAGAGGGAGAGAGAGAGAGATAGAAACATCAATGATGAGAAAGAATCACTGATCCGCTGCCTCCTGCATGCCCCACATTGGGGATCAAGCCCACAACCCGGACATGTGCTCTGACTGAGAATCAAACCGTGACCTCCTGGTTCCTAGATCAATGCTGAACCACTGAGCCATCCAGTTCTGGTGCTCTTAAGGAAGTTTCAAACATGGTTCATGGGATAGAGTGGAAAAACAGAACTTGTAGTCAGAATGGAATTTTAAAGGCTATATAACATTTGGTAATGCTTCAGGATAGGACCATGTGTGTATTTTACATTTGAAGTGAAGGAACAGGGTCATTGGATTAAAGCAGGGCAAGAATACAATCATCCATTCAAATATTTGATTATTCAAGCATATATCTATGTTATAAGTTACAGAAATACTGGTGAACAATAAGATTAATAAGATTAATAAAATTCTTGCTTTGATGTACCTTACAATTGGAGAAATAGGCAGAAGCCAGATTATACATGGCCTTGTTCTCATGTTAAGAAATGTAAGGTTTAGTCCTAACCAGTGTTGCTTAGTGGATAGAGCATTGGCCCACAGGCTGAAGGGTCTCGGATTCGATTCTGGTCAAGGGCATGTACCTAAGTTGCAGGCTTGATCCCTGCCCCGGTGCATGCGGGAGGTAACTAATGGATGTGTCTCTCTCTCATGTTGCTATTTCTCTCTATCTCTCCCCCCCCCACTCTAAAAATCAATGGAAAAATATCTTCCAGTGAGGATTAACCAAAAAATAAAAAGAATAAAAAATAAAAAGAAATGCAAGGTTTATTTCGATTTTGTTCTAAATGTGATGAGAAACCATTGGTGGGTTTTATGCAGAAGAATGACTTAATCTTATTTCTGTTTTGAAAAGATTATTCTGGCTGTTATGTTGAAAATGTATCATGGGAATAAAAGTAGAAGTGGAAGACCAGTTAGGAAGATACTGAAATAGTTCAGGAAAGGCTTGGACAAAGGTGATGGCAATGGAGATAAAGAAAAATGGCTATTTTTAAAATCCTCACCTGAGGATATGTTTTTTAAAAATTGATTTTAGAGAGAAGTGAGAGAGAAACATTGATCTGTTGCCTCCGTATATGCCCCCCCCCCCACAACCAGGGATTAAACCTACAACCTAGGTATGTGCCCTGACCAGGAATTGAGTCTTCAACCTTTTAGTATACAGGACGATGTTCCAACCAATTGAACCACCCGGCCAGGGAAGACTTGTATATATTTTGAAAATAGAGCTGATTGTGTTTAATGATGGATTTGATATGGGAAATGAGGGTTGGGTGGGGGTGTTATTCATGGAGATGAGAAAGACTGGGTGGAAGGAGCACATTTTGATAGATTCTGAATTCATATTGGATATGTTGAGTTTGAGGAATTTGTGGATGTGTTTAGTAGGCAGGTTGGCTGCATAGCTATAATGCTCAGAAGAGTGCTGGAGCCCTTCATTTGGGAGTCATCAATGCACAGACAGTCACTTAAGTCATGAGTATGTGAGATTGCCTAGGGAGAGGAGAGGATGGAGAGCGAGAAAAGAATCGGGCCTCCAACAGAAATGAAAACACTGACTCCTGAGAGGCTTGGAGTAGGAAGAAATCATTCTACCAACACTATGCTGGCCAAGGTCACTCATGGCTGCATGCTCCCTCAAATCCTATGGATATACAGTGTGTCCCCCCCAAAACTGTATACACTCTTTAACAGTTAGTAGCTGGATTTTAAAAATGAAATGTACTTTAGTAAACAGTGCCTTTATAATTATTCAAAGGGTGTGTACACGTTTTGTGGGGACACCTTATATTTTAGTCCTTGTCTTTATGAACCCACTGCTGCATTGTGATACTATTGTCCACTCTTTCCTGTGGAACTGTACTTCCGGGTTTTCCATTCCTCCCTATAAGTTTCCTTCACCTTTTAAAAAAAGATATACTTTTTTTTATTGATTTCAGAGGAAGGGAAAGAGGAAGAGAGAAACATCAATGATGAGAGAGAATCACTGATTGGCTGCCTCCTGCATGCCCCACCTCCATGGAGAATCGAACTGTGACCTCCTGGTTTGTAGGTCAATGCTCAACCTCCGAGCCACGCCGGGTCGGGCTCCTTCACCTCTTTTTTGTATACCCTAAACTCTGTTGCTCTCCAGGGAAGACTAAAGAGTTAGACTTTATGTTGAGCTGTCAGGAAGGACTTCTGGAGCCACATCTTTTCTAGGATCAGAAAGCTGCTTGCAAATTTTAGAAGCTCTTTGTTCTAGAACTTGATGGAGGCGAGAGAGGATTCCAGATGGAGTGAAAAGCAAGTACAAAGGCCTTGAGATGTGAATATGCTTGATGTGTTTGAAGAACAGGAAAGAAACCTGTGTAGCTGGAGTAGAATGATAAAGAGAATAGTGCTAAGAAACAAGGTTACAGATGCTATGGGATGGAGATGGAATTCATTTCTAAGGGTTCTTCTGAAGGCCATTGGGAGGATTTTCGGTTCTAAACTAAGTAAAATGGATAACCACTGGGGAATTATGAATAGATGATTGCTTATAACTAATGTCTTTTTTAAAAAATGTATTTTTATTGATTTCAGAGAGGAAAGGAGAGGGAGAGAGAGATAGAAACATCAATGATGAGAGAGAATCATTGATCGGCTGCCTCTTGCCTATTGGGGATTGAGCCTGCAACCCAGGCATATGCCCTTGACTGAAATCAAACCTGGGACCCTTCAGTCTGCAGGGAAATGCTCTATCCACTGAGCAAAACCGGCTAGGCCTATAACTAATGTCTTATCAGGCTTCCTCTGGCTGTTGTGTGGAGAATGGACTAAGGAGGACTAGAGTGGAAACAGGGAGACTAGCTATCACAACTCAGGCAACAAATGATAGTTGCCAGGACTAGTGTGTTAGCAGTGAAAATGGAAAAGCTGTCAGATTCTGGTTATACTTTTAAGATAGAGCAAGCTTAACTTCAAGATAGATAAAATGTGAACTGTGAAAGAGAGGAGTATAGGATGACTCCAAGGTTTTTGACAAGAGTACATGGGAGGACAAAGTTGCCATTTACTGAGAAGGGGAAGGCTATGGGAGGAAGGAATTTGGGAGGATGATTAGAAGCTGTTACATTTTTGATGCCTAATAGACATTCAAATAGAAATGTCAAGTAGAGCAGTTGGTTATAAAGGTCTGGAGTCCAAGGAGACTAGTTGGACTCATTGGCTTAATGATGGTATTTACAGGGATGGGGCTGAATAAAGTCACCAAGAGAATTAATATAACTGAAGAAAAGATGATCAAGCCCTAGGGAGTGTTTTAAGGAGAATGGAGTCATAAACTATATTAAATGCTGTTGCATCATTAGTGTTTCCTTTCTTCCTTCTTCCCTCATTCACTCATGACTATAAACATGATAAAGCTGTGCTGAACTCAACCTACTTATGCCCAAACTCAGAATTAGATATCTTTTCTTCTTTTACTCTTATCTAAATATGTACTATAGCCTGCCCGGGTGTAGCTCAGCAGTTGAGCATTGACCCAGGAACCAAGAGGTCACCGGTTTGATTCCTGGTCAGGGCACATGCCCAGCTTTCGGGCTCAATTCCCAGTGTGGGGAATGCAGGAGGCAGCCAATCAATAATTATCTCTCATCATTGATGTTTCTATCTCCCTCTCCCTTCCTCGATGAAATCAATAAAAGTATTTTTAAAAATATGTACTGTAAACCCTAAACAATGTTCTGAACTATTATGTCCCAAACTGGGCGCCACACTGCGTGATCCTGACGCAAAAAGCATACCATAGAAGGACTTAAAAAGCTCAGGCAATTTATCCTGGAGAAAAGAAGACTTTCCAGGGGAGACAATAGTTATAATCTGCTACCTGGTGTCAGAATTTAAATCCTTGACTAAAAATCGCAATGATTCAGATATAGGCTTGACAGAAACAACTTTTCCAAAAATGGTATGAGATTCCCAGGCAGTAGTGAGTTCCCTGTGACTTTCAACATGATGATCATACAACATTCAAAAATCATATTCTCTTTCTGGCTTTGAGATACTGGTAAATACTGTGCTGCATAGTATATGTCATATCTAGTTGATATCCTTGGTAGTGGTTGCTACGCTGTAGAGACAGATTCTGGAAATAGCTACAACACACACTTGGAATCTCACAGTCACATAATCAACCATTTTACTAAATACAAGCATATTTTCATTCACATACAGCTAAAGAAAACATTTTTTCACATTTCATTACAGTGCACAACAAAGTGAGGAAAAGTATACAGTACATTTTATTCTGGAATATGATACGATCTATTCCAACATGCAGTTGTGGTCTTTGTTACAAGTTAATCTTTTCTTTGCCTATGTAGTAAAATAGCTTCTAAAGCTTTATCCTTAGTATTGTATTAACACCTGATTTTTTCACACTTATTTTCTAAAACCCACTTACTGCAGTGACAACAGCACTGAAGTCTACTAAAATGATTGTTAAAGTTTCTAGAACTTGTTTAAGCAATTAAGCTCAGCCACCTTTGCTGGATCTATGCTGAGTATTTTAAAACCTGCCTAAAAATGCAAGGAATGGGAAAAGTATACATATAATGTATTTTAGTCAAGAAAACTGGAGAGAAGTTTTGTTTCTATCTTTTGTTTTGAACTGACAGAATCCAGTCAACTCTCATTTATCCAGTGGATAATCTTGCTTTCGGAATCTTTTAAACACAATTAAGTATAGTAGTTGATAAACTTTGTGTTAACCCAATTCACCATCTTTTATTTGTCATCTATAATCACAAAACTGGCCACTTAATCACTCCACCCAAGCCTGGTCATGTTAAAGGAATGTAAAAATCATGATTGGTTCACTTGTAGTTGATGCTGCAGGTTGGTCCAATGTGGTTTGTTTCCATCCTTTTCATTATTTGGCTTCTTTATTCTGGCTGAAGTAAATCCCCCAACTTTCAAATTCAATCACATTCACACTGAAGTTTAACACTATATCTCAAAGCAATTTAACCATTCTCAGGCTTTCCTATCACAATGAAGATGAGAGATCTGACTCCCATCAGACTTGTTTTCTGACTGTGAAAAGTATGGCTTTTGCCCAGCTGAACTGGCTACAATACAAAAAATAATTTAAAGCATCACATCTCTTCAAGAAGATAATTAAATCCCAAGCCAACCAGTCCAACTTTCTGATGCAGTTATCTGTCTGTTCACCTGAGAATTGAGCTGACTTTCTAGGGGAGACAAGAATCTGGTATAGGTATATGGCAAACAGATGGCCAAGGTCATGGTGAGGTGAGTATTTTGTCCCCATCCCACTTCCCACTGCTGTATTTGGTTCCTTTCAGTAATATGTTCACTGTGTTTCAGTGATAAGAACACTTCTAGCATACACAGTTCTAATGTGTTTTCAGTTGTACAATTATTCACTTGGTGAAAGCCCTCTATCAGTAACACCTGAATGGGCTTTACCTTTGATTCTCAGAATTATAGCTGAGTTGTAATCAATAAGGAAACATATCCTAACATGTAGAGAGCATTTATTTACAGTCATATCTCTTCCAAAGTGAACAAATTAACAACCGTTCGTTCATCTGACAGCAGGATGATGCAGTGAAACAAGAACTAGGATTCAAGAGACTTTCACCTTGGCCAAGTGAATCACCCGCCTCTTAGTTTACCTTCGTCAAATGGGGAAGAAATCTCACAGGCCTGTAATGATGATCAAATAAGTAATAAGTGAGTGTAATGGGTTTTGTAAGGGTTATAGCGCCTCCTGTTGAGCAGGTACTCAAGACAGGATTGATGAGTGAGGGTTTGCCTCTCTTTTCGGAGGCAATCCCTACATCGTTGCCATGACCTGAAAAGACAGGCACATTGTTTACTTCTAGATTGCAGTCGCCAATGCAGTGAAACCCCAGGCATGGTCAGAGGGAAAAGGGCATGGCGTTCGGGTTAGTGTTTCTTCTACTTACAGGGTACTTTGCATGGGACAATTTCTTTCACACGGCTGGCTATTCTACCACAAGGGAGTACATTTCCCCCAATGTGATAATAAGTGTGTAAACAGCCTCCCTTTTCATATTGACGCCATTGTTATCAGAACACCAGGTCTTGAAAGTGTCTTAGTAAATAGCTGGTCCACACCCCTCATTTTACAGATGAGCTCTTGAGAAGCTAATCGGTCCTTTTTTTTTGGTGTCGAAACCCGGGAATGAATAATCAGTACTTATTAACCAAACCAAACCCAGCACACACACTTGGTATAGGATAATCTCATGGAATAAGATGATCTCAGTCTTTTAAAAAAATTTGCTAATTGTTCCCAATGATATATTCCCCCCCCCTTACATAATGTCTTTTTGTTCATGACCTATGAATGAGCTGAAATACCAAGAAAGAGTTGTCTGTGGGTGTATTTTTCTGGGGCCTAGCTCCCCAAACCTCAGGCTCTTGACATGTGGTCCACAAAGGGCACATGGAGCAGCCACTGCCCAGCATGGGCCACAAAACAGTGCCTGGCCCATGGCAGTCATTTAGTCCCCCAGTCACAGCACCCAGGCTCCCCCACTCCCCTGCCTACAACCTGTCAGAGTGCCCCTTGGGAAGGAGGCTCACTTGGTATCCAAAAGGAAGGTTGAGTTCTCTTCAGTCACACAAGGATTCTATTCATTTCAGCCACTTTCAAGTTCAGCTTGGAGAGCATGTTTTGGAAATAAAAAGGCCTGACTAGCACAAGCATCTCCTCTCTGATTTGACAACCTCTTCTGAAGAGTGAACCACATTTGGTACAAATCCACTCTTGACCCCTTCCCAGCCCTCCTGGATTGAGATATCCCCCCTTTTAACCAGCTCATAGATGTCTTTCGTCAGGTCTGTGAAGGCTTTCTCCACATTAATGGCATCTCGGGCTGACGTTTCAATGTACTTCATGCCGTACGCAGCAGCCAGTTTCTCTGCTTCATGGCGAGTCACTTGCCTCTGTGTATCCAGGTCACACTTGTGACCCACCAGAACAAATACAATTTGGTAGGGCTGAACGTGTACTTTGGTCTCTTCTAACCACTCATGGACATTCTGGAAGGACCTGCGGTTGGTAATGTCAAATAAGAGAAGACCACCTACTGAGTTCCTGTAGTAGGCTCGAGTGATGGATCTAAAACAAAAGAAAACAGTAAAGAATAAAGGCCACGCCCCAAATCCTGTATTTCTTTTATATTTTTGTTGCTGATAATCCTCACCTGACGATATTTTTCCATTGATTTTTAGAGAGAGTGGAAGTGAGGGGGAGAGACACACAGAGAGAAACATCGATGTGAGAGTGATGCATCGATTGGTTGCCTCCCACACCTGTATAGATCAGGGATGGCTATTGAGCCTGCAACTGAGGTACATGCCCTTGACCAGAATCAAATCCAGAACCCTTCAGTCCACGGGCTGATGCAACCTAAGTTGCAAGGGCCAGCCCCAGTTGGAACACTTGTGAGAGGCAACCCATCACGGTGTCTCACTCACATCAATGTCTCTCTCTCTCTCTCTCTCTCTCTCTCTCTCTCTCTCCTCCCTCCCCTCCTATCTCTCTAAAAAAATTAATTGAAAAATATCCTTGGGTGAGGGTTTAAAAAAATAAATTTATGGTAGTTGACAGAAAAATGCTCATAAGTATATAGGTATATTGCAATTCTCTCCCCATTTATCATGACCACATTTGTCTTTCTATTATTATTATTATTATTATTATTATTATTATTATTTAAATATAATTTTATTGATTTCAGAGAGGAAGGGAGAGGGAGAGAGAGATAGAAACATCAATGATGAGAGAGAATCATTGATTGGCTGCCTCCTGCACACCCCCCACTGGGAATCGAGCCCGCAATCCAGGCATGTGCCCTTGACCAGAATCAAACCTGGGACCTTTCAGTCCGCAGGCCGACGCTCTATCCACTGAAGGGCTAGGGCCCTTCTATTATTGTTTTTATTATTATTATTATTATTATTATTATTATTATTATTATTATTTCAATCTAACAGGGATCTTCAGTCTCTTCTGTGAGGAAAAATACAACTTTGTTTTTATTTTCCAGGCCGGTTGGGAATAGGAAAGAGAGAGACTGTCTGTAGAGGGCTCAAGCAAAGTGCCTATCAGCCATGTTTCCTGGCACATTTCAGAGGCTGAATAAGGAGGCACCAGTTGGGAAAAACCACCTAAATAGCCAAAGCTTCCCTTTAAAATGACATGATTTATTTAAAGCATTGCAATTAGAATACATTTGCTGTACTTCTTTTAAACTTCTTGATTAGAGGAGCTTCATTATCAATATACATTATACTACTTTGCTTAGAGCATTTTAGAGCTTATTAGAGGCTATAGATCATTTGCTTCTATGACTTGCTTTAGACCAGGGGTGGGGAACCTTTTTTCTGCCAAGGGCCATTTGGATATTTATAACATCATTGGCGGGCCATACAAAATTATCAACCTCAAAATTAGCCTGCTGTATTTGGTCAAATATTTAATTAACTCACCCCTAATGCCTTGGCAGGGCCAGACCAAATGATTTCGTGGGCCTTATACGGCCCGTGGGCCAGACATTCCCCACCCTTGCTTTAGACTATTGTGCTTTTTGATCTATGTCTATTTTTAGGTTTTCTGTCTTCTTGGATGAAGAAGACAAAAATGAGTGATTCATTTTTGCCACAAGGCTTAGGGCAAATGGCCCAATGGTAATAGCACATTGTCCAGAGGATTAAAGTCTAAACTAGATGATGGCAAGAGCCAACCTTACAAATGAGATCAAGTCTCTAGCACCAGGCAAATCAGCCCTAGGGAATGAAAACAGTTCTGATTCCCTTGTGTATGAAGACTCATGGATGCAATGATCAAAGGTTTTGATTTGTGAACAGCTTGGCTCAAGAAATCAATAAGCAAGCTGTAGATCCCTTCAAAACTCTAAAATCCATCATTACACTAGTACTTAGAAAGTAACAAAGCCTTATCTAAGCACAACATAAGGCTGCATAAAAATTAAAACCTGTACATCAAAACATTTTCTTGAACAAAGTTCGAAGGCAAATGACAAACTGGGCAAATATTTTACTATGTCCGTGATAGAAAAGCATACATATTCCTAATCTAAAAAAGAACCTTTACAAATCAGTATCACCCAATACCAATAAGCAGTGGGGAGAAAAAGGCTCTTCATACAGATGTTCCCATAAATATAAGAAGACATCTTCCTTCACTTACAGTATGAGAAATGCATTCTCAAGTTCAAAGTGAACCTGTACAGGGTGTTTGCCAGTGTTGTTTGTGGAAGTGGGGAGTTGGAGACAACTTAAGTTTGTAGTTATCTCTTCTCCCTATCCGCTCTTCAACTACCTAACCAGTACGTTCTATGCTGAACTGGTGTTCAATAGATAAATGAATAAATGCTCAGAAACATGGGTGATGCTCTATGTGACTTTAGCCCAAGTTGCTCTCTCAAAGTTTTCTGTGTACATTGCTCTCTGCCACTTCTGTCTATAATTATACACGCTGTTTCCTCTCCCTGGGCATTTTTTCTGTCCTACTCATCCAGCCTCATCGCCCCCAGGTAGCCTTCCCTCCCTCTGTAATTGCAAATGAGACACACTCCAAAGGAAAAACAAAGGGCTGTAGGAGAAAATCCAACCTGTTCATTGATTGCTCACTACGTGCTACGAGTTCTAGTAGGGAGCGAGCATACAAATATCAACAAGATTCTCTGTTGTGTAATTGCTGATTGTCTGTCCCCCTCCCCTCCCCCATGTCAGCACAGAGGTTCTGAGAGGGAAGGGCCTGTGTCTGTTTTGTTTACATGGCATCCCCTTGTGTAAGTTTCCTCAGAAACAAGCCTGAATCTGGCATGGAGTGGATGATCACTGAATGTGTGCTGGTTGCAAGAGGGAATCAATCATTTAGCATCTGTCATATGTACGTATATATAAGGCATAGATGTATGTATCTGTATCTATATATGGAACACAATACATCGATATCTGTACCTATGCCTGTCTCAGGACCATCTGTCTATACCTGCCTATCCATGTTGGGATGACCTGGGAACATTTTAAAAAGTATGTAGCATAGGGACTGAGATTGATGAATGACAGTGATCGATTCCAACTGATTTTTTAGCCACCCAGGGGCAGGTTGGGAGAGTTGCTGTGCCAGCAATACGTATTATTGACCGGCCTTCCCTGCCAGGGCGCTTCTGTCCCTGAAGGGCGCTCCCAGCTAGCTGGAGGTGGGCTTCATCAGAAGCCCCCAGACCTTCGGGATCTCTCTAGGGGCGGGCGGGCGCGACCAGGACCAGGAAGTCCTCTATCCCCAGGGGCTTTGCAAGCTCCGAAGACCCTCCCACTGCTCGCGGGCCCCGGCTGCGCTCCCACCTGAACCTCTCTTGACCCGCGGTATCCCAGATCTGGAGCTTGATGCGTTTTCCGGGCTCGATCTCCACCAGACGGGAGAAGAAATCCACGCCCACGGTGGGGTCCGAAACCTGGGCAAAGCGGCCCTCGGTGAAGCGGCGGATCAGACAGGACTTGCCCACCGTGGAATCCCCGATGACAATGAGCCGGAACTGGTACAGCCAGATGGCCTCCATGGCTGGGCTCGGCAGGTCTCCGTATCCCTGGCCCTGAGCGGCGAGAGGGGGCGTCCCGCCGAGGCCCCCCCCCCCCCCCGCCCTCGGAGAGTGCGGCTCGGTCCGGATCTAGATCGGCTGCGAGCACATCGCTTGACTGGGAGCCCGAGGCGAGGTAGGCCCAGGCGCTGGGAGAGCGGAGGGATGGATGCTGCGCTCGCAGAGGTGATGAAATGGCAGCAGCATCAGCACCACGCACTCTGACTCATCACTGACAACCGGGTTACTGTAATCCCCCGCATAGACGCGACGCCTGGAGCCGCCGCACTGTCTGTAAAAGGAGCGCACACAGAAATGGCCCCACACAGCTGGTTCCCTTCTCTAGTTTCTCCCCCCCCCCCTCCGTTCTTAATTTAAAATGTTACCTGTCAAATTGCAAAATTTGTGCCTTTTCTTAAAACTAGGAAGCAATACAAAAATGTACACAAGAATAAAAGTGTGTAATTATCTGCGCCCCTCCCTCCCCAAGCTATTAACAGCTTGACATATATATTCTTCCACATGGATTTCCTTGAAAATATATATGTATACATAAGCACATGTATACATATATAATAAAACATGTGGCCCTAGCTGATATGGCTCAATGGATAGAGCATCAGTCTGCGGACTGAAGGGTCCTGGGTTCGATTCTGGCCAAAGGCACATGCGCGGGTTGCAGGCTCGATCCCCAGTGTGGGGCGTGCAGGAAGCAGCCGATCAATGATTCTCTCTCATCATTGATGTTTCTCTCTCCCTCTCCCTCTGCCTTCCTCTCTGAAATCAATAAAAATATATTAAAAAACCCAAAATATGTGTATACACATATACTAGTACATTTATTGCTTTTTGATTTTACAAAAATTGGATTAAAATAGACCTGACACTCGCTTTTTGAAATTAACAAAAAAAAAATCACAGACATCTCTCCATTTCCAACTAATCTTCATTTTGCCATTACAAATGCTCCTAAATACAGTCACACATACATTATTTCCATTAGAGAGAGTCTTACAACATGGCTTAGGAAGTCGAAGGAGATGAGTATTTTAAATGTAGTGGATATGGGCATTACATGTAGTTTGCAGAAATATTGACCAATTTAAATTCTAGCTAGCAATTTGTGAAAAGACCATTTGTTTGCATCACTTCAAGCATGGTATGTTATATTCTCTCATGATTCTTGCCAATCTGCTGTAGTTAAATAAAAAAGTGTCTCTGCTTTACTTTACATTTCTCTGCCTACTAATGAGGTCAACACCATATCTTGTGCATTGGCCATTTGTATTTCCTATTCTGGGAATTGCCTCTTCATATCACGTGTATTTTTTCTATATAATCTTTTATAATTGCTTTACTCATTTTTTGTTTAAAAAACCCCCACAGTTTTATTGATATATAATTCACATGTCATATAATTCACTCACTCAAAGTGTACAATTTATTAATTTAATTTAAAAAATATATCTTTATTGATTTCAGAGAGGAAGAGAGAGGGAGAGATAGAAACATCAATGCTGAGAGAGAATCATTGATTGGCTGCCTGCTGCACACCCCCTACTGGGGATTGAGCCTGAAACCTGGGCATATGCCCTTGGGTGGAATCGAACCCAGGACCCTTCAGTCCACAGGCCAACGCTCTATCCACTAAGCAAAACTGGCTAGGGTCAATTTAATAATTGTAGTACAGTCATAGAGTTGTGCAGCCATCACCACAAATCTAAAATATTGTAATCACTCAAAAAGAAGCTCCTACCTTTTAGCCAACCTCCTCTTTCCCTTCTAGGCAACCACTAATCTGCTTTCTGTCTCTATACATTTCCCCATTCTGGACATTTGATAAAATTGGAATCATACAATATGTGGCCTTTCGTGTCTGGCTTCTCTCACTTATGGTGATGTTTTCAGAGTTTTTCCACCTGGTAGCATGAATCAGGACTTTATTCCTTTTCATGGTTGAGTAATATTCTATTGTGTGGATAAACATTTTCTTTATCCAGTCATCAGGATTCTGGACATTTGGGTTGTTTCTAACTTTTGGCTATTCTGAATAGTGCTGTTATGAATATTTGTGTACAAGTTTTTGTTTGAACATGCGCTTCTTTGAACTCTTTTGAGTTGAAACCTAGGAGTGGAATTCCTTAGTCCTATGGTAACTCTATGTTGAATCCTTTGAGGAAATGTCAGACTGCTTTTCACAGTGGCTGCACCATTTACATTCCTATAAGCAGTGTATGACGGTTTTGATTTCTCCATATCTTCTCTAACACTTTTTATTTTCTGACTCTTTGATTCTGAAAGTCCTAGTGGATGTGAAGTGGTATCTCATTGTGGTTTTGATTTGAATTTCGCTCATGATGAAGGATAATGTGAATATTTTCACATTCTTTTTTTGTTTTTGTTTTGTTTTTTGTTTTTTTGTTTTATTTTTTATTTTCACATTCTTATTGACCATTTGGATATCTTCCTTGGAGAAATGTAGGCTCAGGTCATTTGCCCATTTTAACTGTATTACTTGTCTTTTTATTATAGAGTTGTACGAGTTCTTCATATATTTTAGGTATATGTCCCTTATGAGATATATGATTTGTAAATAGTTTTTCCCATTCTGTGTGTTTTTTTGCATTTTATTGAGGGTATCCTTTGAAGTACAAAGTTTTAAATTTTGATGAAGTAACAATTATCTACTTTTTTTTTTCTTTTGTTGCTTATGGTTCTGGTGTTACGTTTAAGAATGCTTTGCCAAATCCAAGATCATGAAGATTTATGCCTATGCTTTCTTCTATGAGTTTTTCAGTTTTAGCTTATACATTTAGGCCTATGGCCTATTTAAAAATGTCTAATAATTTTTATATTGTGTTGAAATTATAATGTTTTACATATATGATGTTACATAAATATTATTCAATTAAATCCTCTTGTTTTTACTTTTTTTTTACAATGTGACTACTAGAAAATCTGAAATTATACCTGAGGTTAACATTTGAGGCTCACATTATATATATATATATATATATAATACATATATACATATATAATACATATATTATATATGTATACATATATTATATATATACATATATAATACATATATATAATACACATATATATACATATATATAATTTAAATTCTTTATTGACTTTCAAGTATTATATAAGTCTCCTTTCTCCCCCATTGACCTCTCTCCTGCCACCCCCACCCCCCAGCACATGCCCTCACTCCCCGCCCCGTCTGTGTCCATTGGTCATGCTCATATGTATGCATACAAGTCCTTTGGCTGATCTCTTACCCCCTCACCCCCACCTTCCCTCATAGGTCGGACAGTCTGTTTGATGCTTCTATGACTCTGGTTCTATTTTTGTTCATCAGTTTATGTTGTTCATTATATTCCACATATGAGTGAGATCATGTGATATTTATCTTTCTCAGACTGGCTTATTTCAGTCCGCGTAATGCTCTCCAGTTCCATCCATGCTGTTGCAAATGGTAAGAATTTCTATGGACTATTTTTAAAATTAAATTTATTGGAGTGACAGTGGCTAATAAAATTATATAGGTCTCAAGTGAACATTTCTATGATACATGAAAGTCAAATCTTCTTCCATCACCATATATTTGACCCCTTTAGCCTTTACTACCTCCCTCCATCCCCCTTCCAGTTGGTAACCACCATACTGTTGTCTGTGTCCACAAGTTATTGTTTGTTTGTTTTTCTTGTTGGCTCATCTGTTGCTTTCAGTTTTATATCCCACATATGATTGAAATCATATAGTTCTTGACTTTTTCTGTTTGACTTGTTTCACTTAGCGTGATATATTTTTGTTTTGTTTAGTTTAGTTTTGTCTTTGTTAATCCTCACCTGAGGATATTTTTCCATTGATTTTTAGGGAGAGTGGAAGAGAGAGGGAAAGACAGAGAGAAACATATTGATTGATTGCCTCCTGTAAGAGCCCCAACCAGGGCCTGGGCTGGGGAGGAACCTGCAACTAAGTTATGTACCCTTGACTGGAATCGAACCTGGGATCCTTTGGTCCACAGGCTGATGCTCTATTCACTGAGCCAAATTGGCTAGGGCTAGCATGATATTTTCAAGATCTCTCCATGTTGTCCCAAATGGCAGTATTTCATCTTTTTTTCTCCTCTCTCCCTCCCTCCCTCCCTTCCACCTATTTCATCTTTCTTATGGCTAAGTCCATTGTCTACATGTACCACATCTTCTTGATCCAATCATCTATTTAAGGACACTTTGGTTGTTTGCATGTCTTTGCCACCATGAATAATGCTGCAATAAACATAGGGGTGCATATATCTCTATTAATTTTTATATATGCTGTGAGGTAGAGTTACAGTTTTATTCTTTTTAATGTGGCTATCTAGTTGTCAAAGCAGCATTTGTTGGAGAGATTAGTCTTTTCTCATTGAATGATTTTGGCACTCTTGTTGCAAATCAACTGATCATGGACTATGGGTTTATATCTGGACTCTCAGTTTTAATTTTATTGGTCTATATGTGCAGTCTCATGCCAGTACCACATTATCTTGATTGTTGTAGCTTTGTAGTAAGTTTTGAAATTAACAAATATGAGTCCTCCTATTGTGTTACTTTCCAAGATGGTTTTGGCTATTTGGGACCCTTCCAATTTCATATGAATTTAAAAACCAACTTGTCAATTTCTGTAACTAAGGCAGCTGGGATATCAATTGGGATTTCATTGAATCTGTAGATCAATTTGGGGACTATTGCCATCTTAACAAAATTAAGTTTTCCAATCCTTGAACATAGGAAATCTTTCCATGTATTTAGGTCTTCTTTTAAAATTTCTTTCAATAATGTTTTGTAGTTTTTAATTTACAAGTTTTATACTCCTTTGGCTAAGTTGTTCTTTTCTTTTTTATTAAATCTTTATTGTTCAGATTATTACAGTTGTTCTTCTCCCCCCCCCCCCATAGCTCCCCTTCACCCGGTTCCCACCCCACCCTCTGCCCTTACCACCCCCCCACTGTCCTCATCCAAAGGTGTACTATTTTTGCCCAGTCTCTTCCTGCACCCCCCACACCCCTTTCCCCCCGAGAATTGTCAGTCCACTCCCTTTCTATGCCCCTGATTCTATTCTATTCACCAGTTTATTCTGTTCATCAGATTTTTTATTCACTTGATTTTTAGATTCACTTGTTGATA